GATTTACCCCGGATACACTGTAGGGGCGCATGTGAGATCCACTCGAGAACGGAGTGCAAGTCGCCCCCGGAAAGTCGACATTTTGTGTGCTCTCAGTTTCAGCGAGGCTGTCTTTCTGTCAGACCGTCAGCTGTGAGTCTCGGTGAGTGAGTAATGAAGACGTAGGATAAGAAGAGAGACAAGAAAAGGCTCAGCACGGCCCTCCGATAACCGCGTCCCGTCGTTTCCTTTAACACGTGTCTGGGACAGTTCTCAAAATTGACCCGTCATTGGCTGCGTCCTGTTTTGTCATCTTTTGGTCCATGTTTCTTTGACTGAAACAGACCGCCGCGAAGAGACGGCGTCGTCCGCAAGGGAGACACAGACAGGAGTCTTGTTTTCCCCCTTCGGCTCCATTTCTGCCGAGCGATTGGCGGTCTGAAAATGACTCGTTTTCGCCATCATCGCCACCGTGGTTCATGTGCCCGGACTTTAGCCGACCTCGTCAACATGTACTTGATGCTCAGGTGGCTGCATGACGATGTACTGAACAAGCCTATTCAAAAGTCAATGTGTCCATCGGCTCAAACATGTGTCTTTTTGTGTAATTTGTCGCAAGATTTTCGATGTTGCTGGGCATGGCGGCGTCCGCTTTCCAAAACTTCTCGCCGCTAAGCAAACTGCGTGGATTCATCTGTCGCTGCCAACGCGACGTCAATGTCGCGAGTCGGCGGCGGTAGATTGACGTAACACAAATTTCGCGCTTTAGGTTTGATGTGAAAGAACGATGTTCTGAAGAGAGAAATAAGCTTGTGTTTGTGCAGCTGCTTCCCTCGCTACTAGAACAGCGTTCGTGCTTGTTTGTGGAGATGGACCAGAAGGTCAGCGCTCTAGTTTGGCAGCGGGTATTGATTGTTTCGGTCACTTTGTTGGTTGCACAGTCTTCACTGTTGGGTCTCGTATCAGGGAATGGCGGCAAACTCCAAGGTTAGGACAAAGATAGCTGAGCCTTGAGTAGGACACATGATGCATCGAGTCTGCGGGTTGGTGGATAAATGACTGAGCAGACACAGCGCCATGATGTCGGCGAGCCGTTTCTCGCTTCTTGCTTGACTTTCACCCTCGACGGACGGTCACAAATGGTGATGTTTGGGTAAAGCCAGTGACAATAAACACTGATACGCGGGTTTGTTCACTTCGTGATACTCGAGACCTTGGCTCTCACCATTCGCATTGCTTACTCTGGACTCCAGACAAAGGTTTCAACCAAGGGTTCGTAGACTTTATTAATGGACATCTCCCACTTGCACGCTATGCCCTCGTGCCAGGCTTCGACACCGGCACACTGTCCCAGAAAGTCATATCCTTTCCGGTTCCGCCTCGTCCATACCGCCAACATGAAGTTGACTTCCACCATCGCTACATTGATCGTCGCCGTTGCTGCAGTTCCCGGTGATCCTACAGGCCACTGGTTCAAGCGAACTTGCGAAAACATTGAACTAAAAGCCAACCGGGGAAGAAGAAATGGCAGCTTTTACGTCGACCTCTATGCGAATTGCCACCCCAAATCAGGGGACAAAGTCGCCAACAGGATGGAACTCGACAAATGCCTTGGAAACCTGAACGGTGATCTGGCGTGGATGCAAAAGTAAGTCCAATATCTTTCTCACGGGACATGCTACAATGGAGTGCTAACAAGGACAGCGGTGGATTCGATTACGACTGCAGTGGCTGCCAAATTATAGACACAGAGGGAGACAAGTTTATCATGCAGTGCTACTGCAACTTGAAGAGAACGACCATCAACCTCAGTCAGTTGACATGCACCTATGTTCCATGCTGTACCATAGCGACGGTTGCTGACTATAAACATCAGACCTGGGTATTCGCAATGAAGATGGCGTTCTATGGTGTAGCTACCAGTCTGCAAGCCGGCTCACTTAACGGGAGCCCTGCCTTCCCGGGGTATGCCATTTCAGAGCATGCGTGTTGGTGACGCCAATGGTCATGACGAACGAAAACAATAGCATTCATAGGTTTTCGGCCGATGCTTGCTCAAGTATCAGAATATTGTCATATGCCTGCTTAGATTGCAGAACCCCAACTCTGTCTCATAAATAATAAGTCTGGATGTCAATTGAACTTATTTTAGCCGCATCCCCAAGCCCTGCTTCCCAAAACGTGATCTCAACATGGCATCCTTCGCCACAGTGAACAAGGTAAACTGCAACTCTTATGCAAAACTCAGGCCATGACAGTCTCTCCCCCGTCTTTGGTCAGGCGGGACCGAACCTTGATGCGAAGAGCCCGATGAGCCAGTCGCTGCAGGACAACTACATTCCGCTCATTCCGTAAGCCAAGAACCGTGCTCGGGGCAAATACAAGTGCCTGTCCAGTGTGCAGCGACACGATCATACCAAAGAGCTCCAACGCAGGATCTTTTGTTCCCACTGCGATGGGCGCAACCGTATGACTTGACTCCTCCTCACCGGCCATCGTCACCGACATGGAAGAGACACCAGCCAAGTGTTGGCGTAAGGTCCGAAGCCAGTCGGGTGAGGTGAATCGATGTACAAGCGTCATGGAACACAGGTCGAGAAGCTTGGTAGAAACCGTGGGCTCTTGGGTTGAGATGAAGACTCGGACACCAAGATGGCGCTGCAGGCGGATGGTTTCCAGCAATGAGTTGGTGAGAGTCTGACTGTCATCGGACTCTTTCATGTACTTATGCGCCTCATCAAGAGCAACCGCCTTTCCGACGGGAGATTGCTGCTCCAGGAAGAGAGACAGGCAGATGTTGAATAGAGAGCAGGCCAGCTCTGGCGTAACACACGGGCAAGACAAATCGACGACGGTCAGTTGACCCGACTGCGACAAATCATTAGCCATATGAAGAAGGGAATAGTGCCGTCAATCATGAAGAGTGATGATTACCTTAGGCGTCCAGTCGATACTAGTCTTGGTAACCTTACCCGTGCCTCCCAACATGAAGCTTTCAAGGGTATCGAGGCGCTGACTCAATGGACTTCTCTGTGCTGGGGTCAAGTCCGCCTCGCTCAAACGCTTCTTGAAGGTTTTGTACTTGAAAGTGACGCCAAGGTTCTGCTGCTCAATGCGCATCTCTCGCAAGATCCGGTTGATGACGTGCATGTACAGTGGCATGGTGCCCTCTCCAACTGCCATCAGGTCATTCATGCGCTTGGTGTTGAGGTCTCGGTCGCTGAGCCTCAAAGGCTCAATCTTGAGATTTGCAATGCCGCTGTAGATTCTCCGCCAAGACGTTGGTTAGAAAACAAAGCTGCCATAGTGGATTAGAAGATTCTATGATTACCTCGATGGTGCGAACGTTAGTAGGGGCACACAATACCCTGACTGAAACGTCCTTGTTGGATGCAAGGAAAGCTGCCTCGCACGGGAGACCACCCGAGTCCGAAATGAAGCTGTCGTAGTGGAAGATAATTCCAGTGAGGGGGAGAGTCAACTTGCCCAAGTAGCTAGGGAGTAAGCAGTTCTCCAGAAGACATGCGAGCGTGTTGCTTTTTCCGGAACCTTGACTACCGCAAATGAAGACGCTTGAGGGACAGGCTACGTTGTGAAAGATTCTGGAGTCCACTCCGGTGACCCCAGTGGCGAGCGACTCCTCAGAGAGGCTTATACCGAAGAGACCGTATTGCGAAGGAGGGGAAGCATGGATGACGGGCACTGTGAGAAGAGGGCTTGACAGGACCTCGTCACGGCCTTGTTGTTTTGGGTCCAGGTTGAGATGATCCATCTGAGCCACAATATCGGCTAGCTCCGTATGAGATATACCGTGACTCCCATGATGAATGCTCTCGTCGTCGGAAGCTGCTGAATACATCGTGCCCGAATCTGAAGACATATTTGCAATCACAACAAGTAATGGATCGAAAGTTGTGTTCGGCGTGTCTGGGTTGCTGTATGGAGATTTGCGAGACTCATGAGCCTAAGTGCAAGTTTTAAAGATAATCGAGAAGTTCCAGCAATGGGACCTAGGGGAGACGGTGGCTCAAAATTGAAAGGGTACTGCGTCGTTGCGTCTCAGAGATTCTGCGTGGAAGTTCTTCCAGTCAATTACAGACAAGCCCAGACGCAGCCCGCTGGTCATTAGTCTTGAGTCAATAAACACTTGATACGAAGGACGATGGAAGCCAATGGCTTTGAAAGCCCTTTGAGATTCCCGCAGGTTTTGGTGGCAAAGGTTGGGGAAGAGATAAGCCCTTTGCAAATGCGACTTTCAATACGTCGGTAGTCAAAACATGATGCATGGCTTCTTTGATCTGGTCATCACCATCAAAGAACTATTTCGGAAGATGTGACAAAAAGAAATCACATCTCAGAAACCAAAGGGTGCCCAGACACCATAGCCTATCACAACTGGATCTTAAAAGGATGCATGAAAAGATGAAGAAGCCATCGCTTTGATGTTTCGTGTTGCAGTGTGTCAATTATTCGCTCAAGATATTCCGAAGTGACTTGTTATCTTCTAGGACATGCTTGACCTCCGCCTAAAAACCACCAAGTACGATGAGAGAGCAATCCCTGAAGCGTACTGACTTTCCTTCGTGTTAAATGACGTCGTCTACTCATTAAACGATCCGAGATGTAACGACGCTTGAGCGCAGATTTCAAGGCATGTCAGGATCGTGTGCGGAACATATAATGTCAGTTGCACTGCCTAATCGCAATATCGGCATTTAGAAACGGAGGAAGATATTACTGGCACAAAGTCAATGATAACGCATGCCAAGCCTGCCAAGTGCCATCTAAAATTGATTCGGAAGGCGGAAACGTAATCCAAGAGAGTTGAGTGCAACGTTCTCCAAATATTGAGGGGACACATCGGAGCACGTATTCGTGAAGCTTTCTTGGGTTCCGATGACGCCGAAATGCAGAGAATGTCGCTAGCATGAACCGGCACAGATAAACCCAGGCCATACGTCCGAAGCAAGGAGGCCTCGGTTCCTCCATCTCTGCAGTCTTCTCGTTACAGCTCAATGATCATGCATCCTCTCGCCTTGTTCGCCTTAATTGGTGGTTTGGTGTCGGCGAGCAGTCCAGTCTCCTACGCTGGCCACCAAGTACTTCGCGTCACGACAGGCGCCAATTCAGCTGCCATTCTGGAGAAGTTGTCATCCATCGAGTATGACGAGTGGAACACGGTTGTGAACAAGCACATCGATATCGCTATTGCGCCAAACCAGATCGAAAGGTTTCAAACTTTGGCTCTTGAATACCATATAATGCACGAGAACTTGGCAATATCAATTGCCTCCGAGTCAGCTACAGGGACCACCTGGAAGAGACAAATCGACGATCTTGAGTGGTACGACAGCTACCACCCTTATGACGACCATAAGGCATACTTCGAGGCACTTCACGATGCCTTTCCCAATAACTCGGAGATAGTCTCGTCGGGGACTTCGTTCGAAGGCAGAGACATTTTTGGCATTCACTTCTGGGGTTCGGACGGACCGGGAAAACCGGCCGTGCTTTGGCACGGTACTGTCCATGCCAGAGAATGGATAGTAGCGCCGGTAAGCTAACGCGACAAAAGGCCATCGTGGAAATGCTAAGGTCATGGGCGACAGGTTGTGGAATATCTCACGTTGCAACTCATCCAGGGATATGGCGTTGACAACGCCACGACTGCTTTTGTGGATAATTATGACTTTTGGGTGTTCCCGTTTGTCAACCCGGTAAGACATCTCGAGCTCAAATGAAGCAGTCTGTGACCTGACACCTCGACAGGATGGATTTGTGTACACTCAGACAACGGAACGGTTGTGGCGGAAAAATCGCCAACCAGCCCCAACTTCAACCAACTCGACGTGTTATGGTCGCGACATCAACCGCAATTGGCCGTATAAATGGGATGCTAATCCTCTTGGGGCTTCTACGGACCCTTGTTCTCAAACATACAAAGGCATCGAGGCAGGCGACACCCCGGAGATGGAAGGACTGCACAAGCTTGTGGACACTTTGCGAGACACAAGTGGGCTGAAACTCTACATCGACTGGCACAGCTACAGCCAGTACTTTCTGACCCCCGTCGGCTACAACTGCACCTACTACATTGATACTCTTGGCCAGCACATCAAGCTTGCTCAGCTAGCCTCGGATGCCATTCGGGAGGTTGAGGGTGTCACCTTCACGTATGGCCCAAGTTGCGCGACTCTGTATCCTACGACTGGAGCAAGCTTCGACTATGCTTACGCTGTTGGCAAAGCTCAATGGTCATACTTGATCGAGTTGCGGGATACTGGCGATTTCGGGTTTGTATTGCCGCCAGAGCAGATTCGTGGTAGTGTGACAGAGCAGTGGGAGGGCATGAAAGTCATGCTGAGTGTTCTTGATGAGGTCTTCTTCGATGGAGAAGGTCCAGCGGCATTCTAAGTCGAAACGAAATGCAGGAAACATATGTATTGAGTATCAAATATCGAAGGAATATGCATCACGCGCAGCAGGTTTCGCGTATATCCGAAAAGCCACTGTAAGCCGGTTATTCTCGTATGATCGTACGCCAATACCCCTCATTAAGCCCTTCGCTTTTGGTAAACCTCATGACCATATCTGATACACGCCAAAACAAGCGCGAAAGCGAGAATCCCTATGTTTGAGTCGAAAGCTCTGCGGTAAAGAGGCTTGTCATCGGCTTGGAAAAGTTGCGCTCCATAAATTGCTGCAATGTTCGCGCTCATGATAATCCTTGAAAGTAAAAGTTAGAATCCCGAATTGTGTTCGTTGACGAAGCTGGGGCAACTCACATCGCCATAGCCAATGATCTCTCTTCCGGGTCAGTGCAAGTCAGCGACATCCATGTGATATTGAGAGGGTGCGGGAATGAGGCAAACGTCTGCGTCCAGACGACTCCAAAATACCGCACACCTCGCTTGTTGATCTCCGTGAAAATGCGGTTTAGAATGTAGCCGAACATGTGCATTGCGACTGCCAGTATCGTAGTCTCGCCTCGCTTGTTACTGAAGTCGGGAATTAGCATCCGGCCCTCCAAGTAGGTATATCGTGACAAGACATCACTTACAACCGGTCGGAAACGTAGCTGAAGCCAAAAGAGACTGGTACTTGAAGAAACAATCCCACAGCAGCCAAAGCATTACTCGTAAGTGAGGGGAAGCCGAAGCTTCTGATGATGGTCGGACCATAGGTGTCGAAACCTCTAAAAGGTCCGTTGTTGCCGAGAGTGATGAAAACATGCATCCATATGCGCCAGTTGGAGAACTGCAACATTCAGTAATGCTATCAGAGAACTACAGTGGGCGATGCAGGAAGACTCACAGCCTTTTTGAAAGCAGCCATCCCGATATGTTGCTTCTTGTTCATTTTGTTGGGATCATCGATGCGCACGCGCGTCTGCAATATGTGCAGCTCTCGTTCTGTAAAGATGTTGACTTGTGGCAGAAACCAGCTATGCGGGTTATGGAACGCGTCTGGGAGACAAAATCCTAGTACTATGCCGCTGGCAATAGTGAAGGCTCCCATCACGATGAAAAGCCAGAACCAGCCAGGGTACCCGGCTACTCCCTTCATATGTAGGATTCCATATGCAATTAGCTTTGCACAGGCCTGACCCAGTTGGTTGCCAAAGAAAAATATCATAACACGTTTGGCAGTCTCTTTGCGTGTGTACCATGTTGACAAGGTCCAGAGACCGCCAGGGATGTAACCACTTTCAGAAACTCCAAGGAGAAACCGGGTCGCAAGGTAGCCGGCATAGTTGTGCTGGAAGGCTTGGAACGTACTGACCAAACCGAAGAAAAATAACTGAAGGGTCAACCACTTCCCCGGTCCAACCTTGTACAAAATCATGTTTGACGGAATCTCGAAGAGAACAATCCCAAGGGATAGCAATTGTTGGCCAACATTGAATTGGAATTGCGTGATGCCTACGTCTTCCATGAAGGTATCTGTTATTGCGTTCGCGATATTGCCTCGATCGAGTTCTGCAGTCATATTTTACGTCAGATGGCAGTGGACTTTGAAGGCTATCGTTCGTACGCACGCAAGCAGAAGAAGCCGAGTGTCAGGAGTGGCATAATGATCAAATCTAATCTGTATTGGTTCACACATTAGACCCAAGAGTTCCAGATGTAGGTGTGCGACTTCAACACTCACTTCCATTTCGCTTTCCTCTCTTCGTCCTCCGTCCAATCGACCGGCGATGAAACCTGCTTCGTGTCGCCATCCGCGAGATTCGCAGAAGGGGAACGATCCAACGAGACGATGTCGGCGGTGCCCATGATGTCAACGAGGGGTTGATGTTTTCGTTCGGAAAGACCTCATAAAGTCGGTATTCAATTTGATTGAACCGAGAAATATCAGGTAGCAACAAATATGGCTGGTTGTTTCCAGTACTCCAGTTCGGAACTCAGCGTCATCCTTCTGCAGGGCTTTCTCTTGGCTCAGACGAAACCGAGCACACCATACAGGATCTGCGGAGAAGATCCGAATCACTGGGTCCGAACATAAGTCTTATCAGGCCAGCAAGCTCGACAAGAGACAACTGGGAAGGAGCGATATTGCGTGCTTGATGTGAAGTAGCATCGTCGGTGCCTACGCATCAGGCTTTGGCACCTAGTTGTGGGCAATGTTACAATAGCGAATATCTCACCACGTGGAAAGGCAATGATCTCCGAGATGGATGTTGGAGTAGCGCAAGAGTACGCCTGTTGATCGATCTGGATAGTTCCAAATTGACGCGGCGACTTTTAGTACCTTAGGCTGGACTACCACTGATTGGACTTGTATCGTGTTTGCTCACTTTGCTGCGGCACAAGCTTTACAAACTTGTTGCATTGGAACTCGAAGACAAGCTACGGAAGCAATTTCAACGTCGGGCGTGTTACTGCCGTTGACGGTTTGGAGTGGGAAATCCGCCCGAGCACGTCATCTTCCCGGCGGATTCGATCATCCAAACACTCCACTCGGGGCACATCTGCGTCGGAGAACCTCCGACATGCAAGCATCCCCAATAAACTTAGTAATACAAAGGGCATTGGCCTAGCTAGGTGAAATTGATCTAAATGTCATTCGTGCAATCACGCCTTCCGTACGTACATCTCACATTCATCAAAACCCATCGCCGCGATGAAGACCTTGTCCGACGAGGAGCTCACGAATCTCGCGGGCAATTACTTCGCCCCGAAGGGACTTTACCGTCACACGAAAGGCTTGCCATTCTTGGGTAGTCTTGAGTGTAACACAAAGACACTCATTGCTGGGCAATGGACTGAACTCATCGTGGAATACACAGTTGGTGCCAGTGGCCTTGCTGATGGAGCTTGGATCAAAGGAACCTTCAAGTTCTACTCGGACTGGGCGCTGTTTCAGACTTCCGACCCAAAGGAAGACAACTACGTATCGGTAGAATACACGCCAGGCCCTCTCCACGAAGGACAAACAGCGGCGACGGTACAGTCACTGGCTGTTCGTTTCGACCAAAAGGGCCACGAGCGACCATTCCAAAAGGCCATTATCGTTGACATTGTCGACGGTTACATGAACCCCGGAGATAGGATTACTGTTCGAATTGGCGACAGACGATGGGGATCGCGGGGTACCCGAGTTCAAACATTCGTTGAAGACAAGTTCTTGATGAGGTGGTATATTGATCCAGTCGGAACTTCAAGGTTCGCTCCTATCAAGCCTGACATTGCTTTTCCAATCAAACCGGGACCAGTTGCTAGAGTCAAGGCCACAACTCCCCGAGTTGTTAGGCCCGGCGTTCCCGTCCCCCTTCACGTCCATACCGAGGATATCTGGGGCAATGCGACAGCAGACCTAAGCAATCTGAAAGCTGAAGTCAAATTGACCAAAGTAGGCTCCAAGGCAGAGGTCGTCCAGACTAAAACCTTGCCTTTCGCAGCTCAGGGATGGACGGTGATGAATGACACATACGAGATGGTCGAAGATGGGGACTACGATCTCGTCGTGGCAGTAACTGATGGCGAGGGATCTGTCATTGCCACAGCTACTGACTATATATCTGTCGATGCCTCTCTACCCATCCCTCGGCCGTTGTACTCTGATCTTCACGTCCACTCCGATGACACTGTCGGCACCAACTCAACCACATACAACTTCTCTTACGCCAAAGAAATTGCCGGCCTTGACGTCGTCGGATACACTGCTAATGATTTCAACATTACCAAAGAGAAGTGGGAACACACGCTTGAGATCATTAAGGGAGTTAATTCGCCCGGCGAACTTGTCGTATTCCCTGGGACAGAATGGTGTGGCAACTCAGCCGCTGGCGGTGAGTAAACCTGATCCAGATGCTGTTGTGCTCTTACGAAGGAAGACTGATTTGATTCAGGTGATCACAACGTCGTCTTCCTCGATGACCCGAAGACGAGTCAACCCGAGTTCCCTTTTGACAAGAAAGGGAATGTAGCTCGTAGCTTCGAGTGGAACGAGGACGGACCGGCAGAGCTGATACCCGGCGCTTGGCCGCTGGATGAAGTCTACGCGACTTACGCTCATTCACCTGAAAGCCACCTCTTGATCCCCCACGTTGGCGGTCGTCGATGCAACCTAGCCTGGCACCATCCCCAGTTGGAACGTCTTCTCGAAATTGGCAGCGCTTGGGGGTTATTCGAGTGGCTTCTTCGCGACGCCGTGAAACGGGGCTGGAAACTCGGCGTTTCCGCCAATTCGGACGAGCACCGGGGCCGGTGTGGAGGCGGAGTACCCGGAACTGCCGTCTTTGGCACTAAGGGTGGATTGACTGGCGTCTTGGCCGACAGGCTGGAGCGTGGTGAGGTTGCGAAGGCCTTACGGGCAAGACGTACGTTTGCGACAACAGGCGAACGCTTAGTTGGGATCGTACGCACCGACAACGGACATCTTCAAGGCGATGATGTATCCGTTAAGGATAACGAGAAACTCGTTCTCAGGTACAGCTTCTTTGGTGCGGGAGGGTACTCTTCCATCGAGGCTTGGGATGCGAGTGGTCGGATTCTCCACCGAGATCTCCAGAAAGAAGCAGAAACTCACGCCACGGCGTCAACTCCTAGAAAGATTCGCGTGACTTGGGGAGGGGCTCGCGTTTACGACAGATATCGTGAGGCTGTCTGGCACGGATCAATCCTCCTTCCTGGGGCGGTCATCTCGCATGTTCGACCTTTCGGGGGCGTGCTTCACAATGCCGAAGATGAGATCAAGCAACTTTCCCAAGACCAAGTCGTCTTCGAGACCCGAACAAGCGGGGATTTCGATGGTGTTGACATTTTCCTTGATGACACATCGGGAACCCCCTCTACTATCAGCGTATCGGGCCATTTAGGTGGATACGTCAAAGTTGGTGACGCCCTCAAAGGAAACCCCCACAACCCGCAACCTCGGTTCAACTTGGTTGCAACGGCAAAGGACTTGACTCAGGAAGGAGGGGTGCGCGACGACATAGTAGGCGGTGCTGACCTCTTTGTGTCCATCGATAGTCTGTTGGATGTTCCATTGCCCAAAAGAGTTGAAGGCAGCTTCACTGTGAAGGCAGAGTCTGGTAGTGGTGGTGACCGGGCGGTGTACTTTGTAGGCAGAGAGTATGGTGGAGGGAAGGTCATCACCAGTCCTGTATTCATCAAGTACGAATGAGCCATTAGCTAGGAAGAAGCATCCACAGCGCACATAGTCTGTGCGGAAGGCAGATCTGACCCCCGCAACTCCAACAACCCCAATCTCTCGAGCCCAGTGCCCATTTCGCTCGTCACCTGCACCTCCTCGGGCCTCAAAATTGGAAACCGAAGGTGAGCGAATACGCGCTCTGCCTTATTGAGAAAGGAGACTTACCGTCCGCGTCTTCCAATGTCGCAACGCAGATGGCGAGATCATCAATGGAGCAGAGTTTCTCTGAACAGGGATTTGGCCGTGGTCGTCATTGGACCACCCCGGATTTCGGCACTGCATGCACCTAGTGTTTGGTTTGTGGATGGTGGTGGGGTAGTTCGATTTCAACGCGCCTGACAGATGCAAGAGACGGACAGGTTCCAGGGAGTTCCTCGACGGCAACCCGAAGTGAGGCCTAGTGACGGCTTTTGTGCGGAATGGGGAGGAAGTGGACATGGAAAGGAGAAAATAGTCTGATATGGTGCATATATAAGCTTGTTAACTCCCCAGATAGGCTCCGGCATTCACCAACTCAAGCTTCGGAGTCTATAGATTTGATCGGTCAGCGGAGAGCTCAAGCAATTCATCCTGCCATCATGCTCGGTCATCTTTCCCGCTTCGCTGTGTCGCTTCTTGTGACAACAGCAGCCTCTTCTCCGGTCCCGCGCTCTGATCCGGCCGGAAATAAATACTTCGTAACCTTGTAAGTCGTCCCTCATACACTCTAAGACTTGTTTATCGACTCGCCTTCATCTAGATTTAGCTGACAAAGTTTTAGCGGGAGCTCTACTACACAGACCGGGTTTTCTGTCAACGGCACCGCTCCCTCGAGCAAGAATCCAATTGGCAATCCCTCTTTTCCTGGATCAACGACGACTGGCGGCCTCAACTGGCTAGGTTTTGATATCGCCGAGTTTAATCACACAACAATCTTAGCCTACAATCTGGCTGTGGGAGGTGCTACGACAGACAACACACTTATTCCAACATACACGGAAGGTATTGCGACCTACGTGGACCAGGTCAACACCTTTTACGATGCATATGTCCACCAGGAAACCCCATGGTCCTGGGACGACGTTCTGATTGGGATCTGGATTGCCAACAACGACGTTGGCCAGTCTTTTGACAGGAACGACACTTCCTCTCTGTACCCGAAGGTTTCTGCCCGTTACTTCGAACAGACCCAGCGGCTGTACGATGCCGGTGCCCGAAATTTTGTGTTTCTCACATGTGCTCGTAAGTTAATTTCATTGAGTTGCTAATGACAGCAATGACAAAAAGCTATGGCTGACTATGGCATTGCTGTCAATCACGAAATCCCGCTAATGATCTGAAATAGCCCAGCAACTTACCCCTTTGATGATCGAAAAAGACCCAGAAAGCAATGCAAAGGTTGCAGCTGCTGTCAAGCTCTACAATGAGATATTGGAAAAGAACTTTCAAAAGTTTAAAATGGCCCATCCGGATGTTCAAGCCTGGCTGGTCAGACCTTCGAAGTCATATGAAACTGCGATTGCGAACCCACAAGAATACGGAGCGCCAGACGCGATTTGTACAAACGAGGACGGTGTCAGCTGCCTGTGGTGGAACAACTACCATCCTGGAATTCAAATTCATCATCTTTTGGGAGCAGACGTGGCGACAACTGTTGGCACACCCTGGTTCAACCCCCAGTAGAAATAATAGTGGTTCCTGATGGCAGATAAAGGAGAAAGAGGTCGCATAAATGCGGAATCATATTTAAAGTAACGAAGTGGGAGTGCATTGGTATGGTCGCTGGCTAAGAGGGAGCTCAGAAATTCAATCTTGTACTTGCCGTTCAATGTGGTCTGACGGAGGCTGCAATACTACCGCTGTACAATGTGCTCACCTGACAGAACGTCTTATCCATACGTACAAAACAAGACCTGCATGGGCGTTCGATAGCTCATGAATGGAAAGGACAGTCTAAGCTAAGTGACGCAAAATTGTGAGGCCAGGCACATGCTAAGGAGAGCGGCTGTTTGAATCAATGAGCAAAAGCACTTGCTGGTGGCACAGAGTACGCACCATAATCATTTTGGAAAACCGACTCGGCGAAGGCTGCTTGGACATCGCTTTGCAACCTTGATGCTGAGTGTAGTGATCCACCAGAAGAGCTGGAGCAGACGCGACTTTGACTTGCTGTGATGTTTCTTGGAGGAGGCTCGCCGAAGAAGATAAGTGCAAGACTCGAGCTTGAGATGTTATGAGGGATCTGGCCTGGGTCTTCCGCATGCTGGCTGTAGTCTGGACAAACTAAACTAAGATGGGATGATAGTGCGCGCCTAATGACAGACCCATAGAAGCATCCAAGAACCTGGGCATTTTAGAAAGCGAATTCAATGGAGAGTGACGGCAAAAAGCCGTCTTCGAAGACATCGTCGTTTGCCGAGAAGTTGCTGATTACCCGTCTCGGAAACCAAGTAGAATCCCGTGTGCGCATCGACCATCATCGTCGAATGCAACCCCAGACCTTCAGGTCGTTTCAAAGTTTCCGAAGGCAATGTTCCCACTGGGACAATATAAGACTTGATGTGAGTTGCAAAATGCTAATTGATGAAGATATAGAATTGGCGGCAGCCTGGAGACAATCATTCTCCCTTCATGGGAGGGCCTAAGAGGGTTGGCAATGCCCCTGAACGAAAGAAATTGAGTGAGCGATTTCGGACGCGAGTGCACACCCCATATGACGGATAGCCCGAGTGCTTCGATGCTACGTGTGGTACTGGGGAGGTTGAAATCTGCAGACGCCCCTGTAATTCAACCTTGATGGCTTGTGATCATCACTGCATCAATGGAACCCGGATGGTCATTGAGCAACATCACCTGAAATTTACGAGAGTAGGTATTTCGTCAATCGTTTGCGATGCCTTGAACGATACAACCATTTTCGCCTCGAGCGCAATTAAGTTTCGGCAGGCTAAGATGGATCGCAGTCGCTACTGCAATGAGGTTCCATTCGAACCTGGAACTCTTCACCCTGCGAAATGTTTCCATATACTTCAGGGATCTCACTGGGCCCATGCGAGAGATCAACATCTGAGAAGTAGCAGCGAAAAATCCTTGCGCTGTATTGCGCAGGTTTTGCCAATTTGGTCGCATTACTACAAATCGGATGCAAATATTGGAAGGAGACAACTCGAGAGCTTCCCGGCGGGACGAAGTGCAGCTCCCAAGGTCCAAGACACCAAACCATGAGATCAAGGAAATCTCGTTAGGTGACCGCTGGAAGCTAAGTTGATGACGAGAACGGCGAGACGATGTCGGAAGCGTCAAGATATCGCTTGCCGACCATTTAGACGACGGGCAGCCACATCTGCGAGGCATTGCTTGACGAGAACGTCGACCACGCCTGCAGCGCCAGCACTACTTTATAGCCCTTGCCGCGAAGGTAGCACTTGTCGCACGATAAAACGACATAAATTTCGTCTTTCCTAGGCTCTGCCCTCTTCTTAGTTTCACTCTGCCCATCTGCTCTTGGAAGAGTAACACCTCAAAACACCCCTTTGGAAAGAAGAGTTACTTGGGAGGGACGACCCCTTTTGCAAGACTTCCATTCCATTGGTTTAAACAAGTTGCAGACCTCCCTGGAAACTTCGCCGCCCGCAAGAGTTCCAATGCCCCAATTGCTATTGTTGGAGGTGACATCTCAAGCCTCGCTACTGCCTTGATGCTGGACAGTGTCGGCGTCCATAATTGGGAAATCATTGAAGCCAGCGATCGTGTCGGAGGACGCTTTCGCACAGTATTTGTCGGTGATACGGAAGAGTTCGCCGAGATGGGTCCGATGAGATTACCTTACCAAGTCACATACAAGAGCGACAATTCCACGCACGCGTACGCTGATCACCGCTTGGCTTTTCAACTCGCTGACCTCCTCGATAGAATGAACGAAAACGACGAGACGTACAAAATCGACTTCATTCCATGGATTCAGCAACATCCTAACGAGCTACTCGCCCTTGCGACGGGCAGACATCCGGGTGGCAGGGTGCCTACCCGCGCTGAGATTGCGAAAGATCCAAGCCTCGGTGCTCCACCGGTCATGACATCGGCGGAATGCAACAACACTAAGATAGAGATGAACAAAGTCTTGAAGAACGAGACTCTCATCACGGAAATACAAGCCAATATTTGGAGGGCCCACAAGCAAGTGATGGACCTAGTCTACGATGATTGGAGCGAGCAGTCGCTGCTGCGCAACCGTCTAAAAGCAGATGAGAACGTCACAGATGCAATTTGGACTTCCATTGACTACTATGTCATCTGGTATGAGATGGTGCACAACTCCAACTTAGCTCTTGACTGGTCTGACGATACTCTCGGTGAGACTGAGTGGAAGTGTGTCGACAAAGGCTTCAACCGCATGTCGAACGCTTTCATTCCCCATGTGTCAGACAGAGTGATCTTGAACCGCAAAATCCGGAAGTTGGAACCGGTTCATGACGAAGCCGGCAACAGTCGAACACGTCTGTCGTGGTATCCCAGCGCGGTAAACAGGACGTTTGAGTCTACTTTTACCATGACTCGATTAGGCCGTCGGAGCTCTGTACTATCCCACGTATGGATTGAATAAATCAGGACCCGGTCTCATCACAAACTATCGTGGCGGAGATTGGAGTGATCGTTTCATTAGCTTCACAGAAGAAGAGCATGTAGGGCTGGTTCTTGATGCTATCGCGAGCTCGCATGGAGGAAAGGCCCGGGAGCTCTATACTGGCTACTATACTCGCCTCTGTTGGCTTGAGGATGAGCATACAGCTACTTCGTGGTGCCGCCCCAACGTGGAACAGCATAAGCTGTATATACCCTCCTACCACCGAGCATACGGCTCCGACTCATGCTTGGATTAGTTCCTCGCTTTATTCTTCCGTCGCAGGCTCTTTTCAGTTGCTACTTGAGTTGGGAATGGTCCATAGGCGAAGAAATTGAACCAAGAGTGGATGGGCCAGTGGATCGGATCATTGATTAGATGTAGGATTTGTGCGAAAGTCACAGCTGTGAGCTGGATATTAAGCATGCGAATACAAAGTCTGGCCTTCGGCAAAAAGTTGTTAATTAGTTCCATAACATCAAACCTGCTTTGATTGCGATGCCGTTATTGACCCGCACGCTCATCTCATCTGGCCTTTCGCTTTTTGTTGCCGTAACGCCTGTCAATCTCAGTGGTCCTGAGATCCTTCTGGGATCCTTCTGAACAGCGTTACCTCATTGGGTAGGTCAAATGCAACCATCATCTGAGCGAAAATGGCACGTTGGGTCCCCGCAGATCGTCCAACACCTTGGGAGATAAACAGTTTCCCGAAGTGCTGCGTCGGTCTGCGACTTCGGAGCTCGGGGTTAACTGACTAATGATAAGGTGCTCTTCCCCGCGCCTTGCCAAACCAACATGATACGCAACGATTACCCGATCTCTGTGAAGTTATTTGCGCATTGAGATATCATGTCGGAACAAAAGTCAATTGCTATTGTCGGTGGTAGGCAGAATGCAGTGACCATATAGGCCCGCAGACTTACTTACTAACGACCTGTTTAGCGGGTATATTCGGGCTATCGCTGGCGGTTGCCCTCAGCAAGAAGCGTGAGTCTTGGCGCCTTCTCCCGAAAAAAGACCTATGACTTGTGAGAGCTGATAAAAGACAGCCGGAAATCGGGTTCATGTCTTTGACAGACATCAATACGATGAGTCGGGATACTCGCCCGATTTCGCCCACAGTACCCAGGCAGCTTCCGTGGACCATAACAAGATCGTAGGTTCTCTGCACACTCGCTCTAATGCGTGACGTGTAGCAATTAACAATTATCTAAATTGCAGTTTCGAGCATCCTACGGAAAGAACATCCACTATCAACGGCTAGCGCTCGAGAGTCGCAGCGCCTGGGAGAAAATTAACGAATTACGCCGCGAAGAAAAGAATGAAGAAGAGCGGTCTGACTTATTCAGCGGCTGCGGCATGCTTCGCGTCCAACCCGACGCCGATCTTGGTGCACTGGAGCGTGAGACTCTGCGTAATTTTGAACGTGACGGGCTGCGTGATACACAATTTGTCAAAAGTGATCCCACTGACCGCCAGCGTGCCACTGAGCGCGGTTGGGGCTCGAAGCTCCTTGAATTTGCTATCCCGGATTCATCTTCGAATCAGAGCTTTGAAGCAGTTCTCGACTCTACGGCTGGTTTCACTAAGTGCAGTGAAGCTTGCGCTTACTTCTACAAGGTAGCTGAACGCCAGGGCGTCGTATTCCACTTTGGGCCCCAGAAAGGTGGTTTTGGGAGTCTCATAGAAGAGAACGTCCCGGGGTCATCTACGAAAAGGGCTATTGGCCTGAAGACCAAGGATGGAGCTGTTCACAAGGCCGATATTGTGGTCATTGCTGGTAAGTTCGCTCTCCACAATTCAATAATTGCAGTGACCAATCTTTCTGGCAGCCGGATCTTTCTCCACGCAACTATTGCCCGAGCTGTCGTACCACCTGGAGTCCTCAGCCGGAAGCGTCGTCACCTTCAAGGTCGACAAGGATGACGAGCGGCTCTGGGATAAGTACTCTCCTGAGCGTTTTCCTGTGATCACTTGGAAGAGCGCTGCCCGGACTGTCGATGGCAAAGACATCGGAAGTATCTATGTGTTTCCTCGGACATCTGACGGCCTCATCAAGATCGGCTACAGGGGCATTAAGGTATGTAAATGCTTGCAATACTTGTGAAGGTCTTGGAATTGACAACTCTCCAGTTCACGAACTTCCAGCCTGCCCCCCCTGATGCTGGCTTCACGCAGGACGGCAAATGGTCTGTGCCCATGTCGCCCGCTGATTCTCGTGTTGTACCGGACAGAGCTAGAGAGGCTATCAAGCCGTTCGTATCCATTTTCCTCCCGGACTTCAAGGAACAAGATTTTTATTCAACAAAGATGTGTTGGTACACTGACTCACTTGACAACTCCTTTGTGGTAAGTGATTTTGAAGTAGGATAAATTGCCCGGTCTTGCTGATTTGGGCCGTGTGCTAGATTGACTACGTGCCGAATTACGCCGATAACTCCGTGTTCGTCTGCACTGGCGGAAGTGGACATGGAGCCAAGTTTCTCCCCGTTCTAGGTGAAGTGAGTACTTCAAATATCCATGTCATTCAATCACTGCTGATTTGCTATTTTAGCACGCTGCCGATATTCTGCTGAATGGTGAGCAGAGCAGCTCGTTTATGCGCCCTTACTGGCGATGGAGAGAGACAGCGCGCAGAGGGAACGGGCTTGAGGAGGGACCCAAGGGCCCCCGAAACATTGGAAGTTCGAACCAATGAATGCACTTAGAAGATACAGTCTGATAATTTCTACGTTCCTGTGAGCCTTGATCTTTGTGCCTCATAGCGAGTAAACACAGTTGCATGATGTCAATTCCCGAGATCCCTCCCCTCAGTGGCCTGTTACCTCTCATTGTGCGGTTATCCTGCATGTGGGGCTGTACCGACGGACGTAATTCTCGCAGGAACCATGAGTCGTTTGCTGTTGTGATATATCTCATCTGAGCTCGTCAAAAGCCAAGTATGCCGCGCCGCTTCGGGCCGCTGGCCAAGAACGTCTGATTCTCCGTTAAATGGACGGAAGAGCTTCCCAACTTCGTCTTCAGCTCGTTGTGATTTGTTGCCTGGGTAGGAAATTTAGTGTGATCCGCGCGTCCTGCATGACACACGAGCAACCTTGATGTCCTGAACTGCCAAGGAGGGCTGCGATGGATTTCTTGGCGTTCGTTCTTGGCCACAGAGAGAGACGTCGAAATAAGATACTGCCCCTGGCAAAGTATGTGCCGCTTTATCCGAGATGCAGATATTGGCTCTGGTTCGTCGTCTTGACGCAGCAAGCACCCTTGCGGATATTAGGTTGACGAGAGGGGCAAAAGGAGCGCGAGGCGGAGACGCATCTGAAGGATGAGGGTCCCGGAGGCAAACAGGTCAGGGGTGAGACGAGCTTCCAACAGAAATCAACAGGAATCATGTTGTGTTATAAGCCGCATTCTTCACCCGCTCTGGGGCGTCTTCACTCGCCCTTAGCAGTGCTTGAGAGGCAGGAAAATCAGCAAGAAGTCTCCGTCGGCTTCTCGACCCCATTTTGTTACTCTCGCTCATCCCACCGCCGTCATGACTAGAGACAGATGTCTTGAGGAAGACAACCCCAACGAGAAGATCGTCCACACTTCCAACGATGGCACTCCTCTCGACGTGAAGCCATCCGACAATGGCAACGGACAGAGCAGACATGAGCATGCCGTCAGCAAGGATGAAGTCGACGACACCACACTCTTCTACAACCTCAACAAAGAGAATGCCGGCTCTTTCACTGCAGAGATGGAAGGTAAACTTGTGCGCAAGAACTTCTGGTTTCTGCTTGGTCAGACCTGGTGGATCGCCTTCCTGATCCACCTGGACAAGTCCACGCTGTCGCAAGCCAGCACCATGGGGATCTTCAAGGATGTCGACATGACGAAGAAACAGTACAATGACCTTTTTGTGGTGTTTTACACTGGCTACCTTATTGCTCTTTGGCCAGGAGCATGGTTGTCTCAGAGAACTGGCCAGAAACAGTTCATCGTTGGATCGCTATTGCTTTGGGCTCTATTGCTCGCAATGCATGTACTTGTCAAGACAGGAGGCCAAATGATAGCCTTGCGGTTTCTGTTGGGCATGGTGAGTTTCCCTTGCTTTGGAATCTGTCTATGAGCACAGTCCGACTAACTGGTCAAAACAGACCGAGTCGCAGATTGTACCGAGCACCACCATCCTTCATCAAGCATTCTTCTCTCCAAAGAAAAGTCCTTGGGTTCAGCTTCTTTGGTGGGCTTCGGGCAGCTTCGCAAACGTACTTCTCACCATGGTTGCTTACAAGTTGATCCTCCTCGATGATGCTCATACACTGATTGGCGGGCTGTCGTCGTGGAAGTGGTTGCACATTATATGTGTGATCCTGACTTTTATCATGGCAGTCCCGCTGGCTTTCTTCCTGCCAAACTCACCCGTGGAGGCAAAATGGCTCTCGACTGCAGAGAAGGTACACACAATCAAGGCGATCCGCGACACACAATCGGGCATCAAAAATTCGACATGGAAGTGGTCGCAAGTTCGAGAAGCGTTTACAGACCCCAAAAGTTGGCTTTTCATGTGGGTTGTTACCTGTTGATTGCCTTTCAACTCACTGATGGCAATGCAGATTCCATATGTTCTTCAACGAACTTCCGAACAACACCTCACAGCAGCTTCCTCTTATTATCGTTGGTTTTGGCTTTACGCCAGCTGAGAGCGCGCTTTTCAATATTGCCAAGCCGTTGATTGGTTCATTCCTTGTTCTTGTGTCTGCCGCTATGCTTTACGGTACTCGACTTGGCACTGGCTATACCTGCGCGATATCGTACATCCCATGCTTCGTTGGGGGCATAATTGAGGTGAGGCTTCGATACCATGACTTTGTTTTCCGTCTTCTGACTCCTTCACAGCTTGCAGCCCCTTGGTCCAACAAGATCGCGCTCGTAGTTGGCACTCAGATTTCAACATTCAAGCCGTCCTATCTGCTCGGTCTTTCTTGGGCTGGAACTGCCACGACCGGGTATACGAAGAAGCTCACCGTCATGTCAACCTGTGTGGTTGCTGCGTCGGCTGCAAATATGATTTCGCCCGAGTAAGTCACCGCTTAGCTCTTCGGCGGGGAAGCCGCTAATGATCCTTTTCAGGTTTTGGCAACCCAAGTACAAACCAAGATACACTTTACCATGGGCGTTCATGACTGCATTTTGGTTCATATCACCTGCCATGTGCCTTGTAATCCGCTGGTATCTCGTCCGCGAGAATCGACGTAGGCAGGCTAACCTGGATGCTGATGGAAGTTCGGACGACAACGATGTCCTGGACACTGGGGACACAGTTGTCCATGTGTACAAGGAAGATCTCGATCTGACGGATCGCCAGAACCAAAAGTTTATTTACCCGTTGTGAGGTGATGAAAGTAGGGCTGCTGTGTTGGATACTGAAGGAGATGCAGCCAGGTAGTCAAAAGAACCTAGGACTTGGGAGGCGTATATGAATAGCTGTTGGAAGAGTTGGGTGTACTTTGAATTCTGGTCTTGAAAGCAAGAGGCACTTTATTTCTTTAGAACATTTCAAGCCTAGAAAAGGAATACGGAATAGATTGATCGTCGGATTTCGGACACGTCCTGCAGTTTGGACTGGAAATGAACTTGTGTACTGTATTTATCTCGTCTGCCTTAGTTCATCAACACGATTAGCTATTTTCATCAGCAGCGCTTGCTAAATGGATGGCTGTTACCCTCCAGGCAAAATGACCTACAACCTACATCGACCGAATGAGTCTACCTGTGTGTGTTCAAATGGAGGCGAGTCCAGCATATTGATCTTCGCTACGTCCCCGCCCACCGTCGCCGTGTCTGGGATCGACCGGCTACGGCAGTGATCCACACCTCCGCGCCGGACGAGACTCGGAGCCTAATCTTTTGTGGGGTGACGTCGATTAAGCTTGTCCCTAGCTCATTTCAATCGGCGACAATTTCGATATTATCCCTGCTTGACGGTACCTGAGGTTCAGTCATCGGTCGTTCTACCGAGTTCTGGTAAAGAGCAGATTGTTGCGTCAGTCTCGTGCGACAATGGCTTTGACTTCCGGACTGAGGGAATACCATATCGTCGCGAAACCGAGACTTTCTACGTCGCTTCCGGGATAGCTTATGCTTATTAGGGAAGGTAGTTCTCTAAACTCCGCAATGGAAGGTGATCAACGGCTCTGATGCCGGGCGCTTGGCCTTCCAGCTCCCGCTACCGACCGCGTAGACAGGGATCCCGGGCACAGCAACTGAACATAGTTGGTGAACCGCTGAAATGGGCCAATCGCCAAGCAGGATAAGTGGGAAACGGCCATCAATACGAAGAAAGTGGATCCGACCTTCAGCGTCCGTAGATTACATCAAGCCAAGGAAAACATGGGGAAATTTGTTGTTGATAAAAAGCCGGTGAGCCCGTGTTGTTGATAACAAGCAACCGAGTCATCGTCATCAGCAACTTCAAAGCTGACAATCTTGCTGCGATCATGAAGGGTCTTATTATCGGACTGGCCTCTTTTGGCCTCACCAGTGCCGCCGCAGTCAGCTCTTTGGCGCAGCCCGTAGCTCGCCGAGGGTGCCTCGTCTCCGACGAGGGCGCTATTCAAGACCCGGCCATCCAATACATGGAAAAGACTGTTCGCCGTCAGAACTTCCCGAGCAACTTCACTGTCGACGTTAATTTCCATCTCGCCAGCACCGAGGAAGAAGCGGACCTGATCACGGACGAGATCGTCGATGCGCAATGGAAGGTTCTCCACGAGGCCTTCGCTAGGTACGACATCAACCTTGTGCTCAACTCGACTGAGCGTACGGTCGACAACCTGACTGGTTCCGCTTTCCTCATCAACGAGGGACCCGACAAGGGCTGGGTTTATCACGAGGAAGAGTACAATACGTATCTGAAGGCGACTCGCAAGGGCGGATATGATGCTTTGAACCTGTACTTCTTCAGCAGTTACTCGCCGGGTGCTACAGGCTACTGCCAGTGGCCTACACCTCTCGCCGAAACCGACGAGTTGACCTTTTGGAAGGATTCGTGCCAGCTGAGCGCAATGACTATGCCAGGCTTCACCGCTGAGCAGGGCGCTTTCGAGTCGTGGAACCTTGGCCATCTTGCGGTTCACGAGAGTGGCCATTGGTTTGGTCTGAACCACACCTTCGCCGGTGGCTGCTCAGAGCCTGGCGACTTTGTTTCAGACACGCCAGCGCAGCTCACCCAGATCTTTGGCTGTCCCGAGGGTTCCGACTCTTGCCCAAACCAACCCGGTTTGGACCCCATTCACAACTACATGGGCTATACTGATGATGCTTGGTAAAATGCTCCTCTCTTGATATTGCCTTGAATTGTGACTGACTTGGTCAACCAGCACGAACGAATTTACTCCGGGACAGAAGGACCGCATGTTTTCAACCTTCTTCAACTTCCGTAGGAAGTAAGCAGACCAAAGCCACCGATGGAAGGCGTGTGTGTCTTTAGATCTTTGGCCGGAGGCAGGAAGACCGTAGAAGCGAGATTAAAACAACACAAATACTTAAATTTTTTGGTGATACTTTATTTGGAAAGAAACGCAAGACAAGCCTAGTGTATCCGCACGTGTCAAAAAGACCGAGATTACATGGTTCAATTGCTTTGTCATCAGTACCTTATGCATCCCAAAACAGGCATCGCACTGCAGTCATACCAATCGACACTCTCTCCGTAGACTGTGCCCATATACCGACACGTTAAGCAGCTAAAATTCTTCGGGTTCCTCCCGACCGCATAGTGAGCACACGTAGGTATAAAAAACAGTCCTCAATTGCATACTCCTTGCTCCCGCGGGAGATCAAGCAAGACTCTGACTTTAACTCTAGTTCCGGAGATTTCAAGTTGGATAGATGAATGTCAAGACATAGAGAATCACCCATCTGCTGGGTTTTGTTTGGATCTTGGTTAAATCCAAGACAAATGTCTGGTATGACGTTGACGAGAGGTCTGTCTCAAAGAACTGATGTGTTGTCTTCTTTTTCATTGCCAACTGGTGCGTTTCGGGCTCAAGTAGCCCTGAATCAGTCAAGTCACCGCCGACACCACCGCCAATCGCAGTTGTTGCCTATTTGAATCTGCGTTCAGCCATCGGAGTCGCCTTTACAGATAGATCACTGCAGCTTGGGGCAACACGATTCCAGGTAACCTACGGCCAGAAGAGCCTCTGAGCGCACACGACGGGCATTGTCCACGGTTCAATGAACTACTTCCAGCACCGTGACAAGGACTGAAGACTACCAACTTGACACACTCCCCAGCAGTAGTAACTGACCGCTGCATTTCGTCGACAACACAAGGTTAACACCTCTCGTCGCCGGTGTTTTCATCACAACCAATCGACTCTCGAAGGAAGGTAGCTCTTGCCAACCGTCGACGGACAGAAGAAAGGGCCGCACCTACCAGAACACCGACACCACAACTCAAGCAGGCACCCGCCTTGTGGCTGCCTAAGACCATTTTCTACCTACTTCAACGACGACACACCTCCGGGCTGACTTCTCCCCCCAACACCAACAACACCAACAACCGCCTTTTCACAACAGCCAGTATCAAGACTCTCGGTGCAGGACTGCCATCTCTTCTCTCCCTCACTTATTGCTGAGACGTACAGCGTCGACTCCAACACTGCCCAAATACGCACCACGACCAACGGGATGGATCGCTCGCCACCCCAGCCCAGGGACTGGACTCTGTCCGCCGCATCCATGATACCCACGAGGATCGATGCAACACATCTGCCTAGACTGTCTCAGCTTAACGCACCACAACCTACGGCCCGACTGGACCAGCTTGTTGGTGGCAGCATCGACCGACATCCCGCACCTTCCCAGCCACAACCAACGAGCGACTTTATGTCCAGTCACAGGCAGCCCAAGAGAGGACTTGATCTCCAGGATGGCGATGAAGAGTCCGCCATTGACACTCCATCCTCCAAGCGACGTCGTCGTCTGATCTGCAGAGAGGGTGATCGAGGTTCCCTGATCCAACCTCAACGTGTTCCTGACCCTCGCTTTACAGTTTTGGGGAGGACCATATCACAGGAAGATTTCCTCCACTTGGAATCTGTCTTTCGGAGTCGTGGCACAAATGCTCCACCGCGGTCTCGCATTTCCTCCCCCGCTCCCATTTCTCTCCTCGGCCGACACTCTGCCCTTGAGAGAAATTATTCACGGGGAAAGGAAGAAGACGAGGTAGAATTCATCGGTTCACGGTCTGCTATCGATAGCATGGCAGAATCTCGGGCCCAGATGCCTCCAGCAACTCCCCAACCTCGATCAACCGCACCAACTCAGCCGGCCTTGCAAGCATCATCATCTGCGCCAATGCTTACCCACTTCTCGAGCCCAACTCTAGAGTCTTTCGATTTTTCGCCTTTGCCAGCACATGTGCCGGCGCCTTTGCCAGCGCCCCGGTCTGATCGCCAGCGTCAACATCCCCTCAGTCTTCGAACGCCTGGCTACGCAGCAGAGGTCGGAAACGTTGCCACCCGCAATGACAGACCTAACATCATGGCAATGGCACAGATCCATCCCATCGCCAGCCAAAACAATGAGGACGTCCGGTTTTCCACAATTTTGAGCATCACGCAGTCGCTCTCGGTCCTCGATCAGATAATGCCAACCCATTGGATCCGTCGAGGCATTACCCTGCACGAGGACTTGCGCTCGTGGCTTACAATCGACATGCAACGACCTAATGCCGGCAGCGACGAGGCCTTTCGGAATTGTGTCTGCGCCGTTAACGTTCCGAGGAAGTTCTATTTCGCTGGGTGCCGCCATGTAAGTCATACACAGCTGTATTCAGTCCAAATCATGACTTTGGAAAGGACCTAATCTTGTCTTGTTAGATGGCTTGTGGCGACTGCGCTCGCAAGTCTGGACGATGCTGTGATCGTGACCAGAGCATGGTACTCTGCTATCCTCCCGAAGGCGCCGAATGTCCTATCTGCGAGGATACCAACCCTATCTTGATCTTCAAGTGCGGTAAGTCGTAGATGTTTCTGTCGAGTCGGATAAAATCACTCACTCCAGCCACCATTCCCAGGTCACACCATGTGCCAGTCTTGCTATCTTCGGCTCTCCAGCCAGCCAGGAAACACGCTGTGTCCCCAATGCCGGGCCGACTTGGGATACGGCGCGATCGCGAGGTTCAACCCCGCGTAAACAGGCTAGAAGGTATGTGGCGTAAGGTAAACACATGGTACTGCTAGTAGATATCATTGAAGGGGGGGAGCTGCGCGCTTTGCGAAGGGACAGGGGTACTCTGAACAACAGGCTTTTTGAGAAGTTTGGAGAGAACGCAATGCATGCAGCATGAATTCGCGCTTATCTTTATCAATGGTTAGCAGGAGTTTATGGCGTGCATTTTACACAGCGTTTGCGGCGTGGTAGGCAGACACCCACAGTCATAGTCAAAGACATCATCAGCGTTTGGGGCATGGAAATAGAAGCTCGATGTGGGAGCATCAGGATCCTACAAGTTATGCAACACAACAAACTCCACTGCAGCTGCAGCCCCTTCTGTTTGAAGCAAGATATCTGCATGGCCGTCCCAAATCACAGTTAAGACGGCTGTATAACTCGGTTTTCGATGTAATATGATGAAGCTAATCTTATTATCTTGAGGAGAAGCCACTTATATAAAGCAACTGACATTCCCCCGTTCTCTACGTAAAAACCTTGTCTATCTTAGTCCCCGTTTCGTGAGAGTTCCACAATGGTTGACGAGGTGTGCTGCCGTAACCACCTGTACAGAGCCACGAGAATCGCCGTCCTCATGGAGGTAGGCGTTGCCGGGGCTCACCTGGAAAACCAATGCTGTTGGTTGGTACCCGTAAGCGCCCAGCCGCGCATCAACCCCCATCATGCAGCCACCACGCCTCCGCGAATTTCATGGCGGGAAAAACATGTCATCGAAAAAACCGAGAACTTCTTTGGCGACATGTCACTCCATCAGCCGCTATCTTGATCTTTTTGGGCCATCTGAGATCGAATGATGCTCAGCATGCTTCGCTATTCTTCTCTCGATATGCCAATCATCCCAGTCCCAACGATAGCCTATCTGCCTTCTCAGAAGGCAACAAATATAGTGACAGTCGCATCCTGGATGCTGTGCCTCTTCAACCCCCAAGTCGCCCCCACACTTGAGTCCCGTCTGTCCGCCTCTAAGTGGCCCAATTGCCAGCGCCAAGGAGAGTGTGATGTGAAGTCAGCAACGTTAGCTGCATGCGTCGGTCTCTCGAGCGGCCATGCCGGCCAGGATTGCGTAAATGCACAAAACGCGGGAATGCGATGTGCCGCCCGTGGCAGTCCCATCCACTCACAGATCTCTTCTTCTGCAGATTGTCAGCGCATAAGTGCCGCGTGACTCTTGACTGCATTTGAGGCGTAATTTGAACCGCGTCCTTTTAATATTTGGTTGCTTCTATGCTTTGGAACTCCTCACTTCCCTTCTCTGTGAGCATGACATCGTTTGAGATTTGTGCGATAGCCTGCTTTGTGTAGGACCTCTAGGGGCCTTGATGATGGGCGACTTGCCAGCGGTGAGGCCCGGCACGATGCCATATATTAGCTGTCGATGATTAACGTGCTTGTTGACAGCGAAATCAAAGCGAGAAAGCGGTACCTGAAATCGAAGATCACCCTTCCACGGTCGCTTGCTCAACCGCTGACCGACAGCGACAAGCTGGCAACACCACGTCTATCGACTTGATTCAACTGCCTCAAGGGGCGGCACCCAACAGAAGCATATCATACGACCCAGCATCCAAGTGCAAGCGTCCTCCATTTCTTCGAAGCCCTGCATATCGGTCGGCTGATTCCCTGCTGGAGTATTCACCGAGATATGGCTCCCGAAGCTTCGAATCGTTCATGAATAAACAGAGCAAGGGTAGCGGGAGAGTGAACAAGACTCATACCGCGACAAGGAGGCGTCCGAGCTCACTGAGAGACCCGACAGCCAAGGTGGCGTTAGGCGACTTGACGGATCGAATGTTGAGCCTTGAGGTAGACTCTGGGGAAAGGCACAACATCAACATAAGTGCTGCAGAAAAGAGAATCTCGAACACAGCAACTGACAAAGCTCGGAACGATAACTAAACAATTTGCCGTGTTATTGAGCAAACTGAGTTGGTCCACTTCGGAGTCGTTCCCGATTCGTGCGCAACAAGGGAAATTTGCCCCGGCACGGCCAAAGTATCAATGGCCCCAAAACCACAGCTACCGACGGGCTTAGGTAGCACGTTTGACGGAGAAAGAGGAATTGGCGACGATGAGAGCCGAAGCCATGAGCCATTTCTATAACTTCCACCCGAGTGATTCGGTATATTGGTATCTTACTGAATTGATTCATTTGACCGAGTCATCTACGTAGCAGTTTCGACATTGTTCTGTGGCATTTGATCGCCCGACTACGACTCATTCGCAATCGGCGTCTGGCGACGATAGCCGAAACGGCTTTACGAAGTCATGTAACCCAAGCTTTGGTTTCCACACTACGCTTTGACTCCCCCATCTCTCTCAACCTCATCCGCAATTTCAGTGACCTGCTCCACGAATTTGTCGACCTCGGTGATGAAGGCAGAGTGGCCACCGGGGTTGCGAAGCACCCTCTTGAGCGTCGGTATGGTGGCAATGATCTGCTCTTGTGTCGTTGGAGGAATTGTCTGGTCTTTTTCGCAAAAGATGTAGTACGCGGGAACTGTCAGCTCGTCCAGGCCAACGGAAGCGCCGCCGAATAGCGCCTCCTGAGACTGGGGCAACAAAGCCGCCATGCACTTGTCCGCAAGCTCGTCGGGCATATCAGGTCCGTAGAAAGCTGCCTTAGCCTTGGAGTTTGCCGTGACGAGGCCGTCGGCGACATCGACAATGTCCAGTCCGGGAGGCAAAACGCTAAGGGCGCTGGCTCCCTTCTTAGGAGGCATGTTGGCGGTCACGTAGACGACCGCGCGGATGCCACCCTTCTTCGATTGTGCGGCTCTCTCGGCTACCGAGTAGCCCTTTGACGCGATGGTCAGTGGCGTTCCGCCGTAAGAGTGTGCAAGGGCGAGAAACTCTTTGCCCTCGTCAAGGTAAGAGTCGAGATCGGTCTGGATCTTGCGCGCATCGTCGTCCAGTGTGACCTTAGGATCATTGCCAACACTAGGGAGGTCAACTCCGATGATGGGAGAGAAACCAGCAGCCTCAAGCTGCGCCTTGGCTAAGTCAAAACATGAAGACTTGTGGAAGCCACCGTGAACGAAGACGACGCCCAGTGACCTGGGAGCTCTAACCGCGGGCATGATTGACGATTCTTTTGGCGTTGCTATGCGAAAGGTTGAGTTGAAAAACTGTAAACTTCGGTTGTTGTGAGCAGACCCTAGCGACCTCGTGAGTGAGGGCGCCGGGACTTTGTATTGAGGGCAGACGATCCTTTATCGAGTGCGAGTCTCTCGCGTTTGCGGGGCTTCGTGACGGTCGAGGATGCAACAAGTGGCCTGTTGTGGGAACTATTATGAAGCTCAATGTTACTCCACATCCCGATCTTCTTGCTGGGCTCCCCGGCATCCGGTTCTTCGGAAGGTGGAGGCGGATTCGAATTGGACGTCTTGTATTCGAGCGAACAGAACTCCAACCAACAGTTTTGTAGCTGAGCGAGTCATGGGCTCCCTACGTTGTCGGAAGGATCTTAGCGGATGAAGTTTAGTGGCCGTACGGATTGATTGGGTGGAGTCTCTGTGGGTGTTCATGAGGGTCAATCGTGGAGCCCTGCGGCCGACATGAGCAGATATTCACTCTACTTCTGCTGTTAATGTTCGTGGGATGCACAACTTACTATGGCAATGGAGGGATCACGTTTCCAGCGAGTGTGACGACTCATGCAAGGTACGGCGTCCAACTACGGTTCCCTGTCTGTCCGTATGAAGAACTGTTGCAGAAGATTCCACCTTCGACTGCCGGGTTAGAACCCATGTTTTCGCTTGGGTTATATGAAAGGGCTAGCTGCATCTCTCTAGGGAATCTAGCCTCGGAGCATTTTGTTCACTTCTCATTTTTCCTTAACCGTCTAATGTCTTCAGGCAGTCGGATTTCACCATGGACGACGTGACGTACTCTTCAGAAAACAGTGTTGCTTCTATTCTGATTGTTCCGCATGCGGTCTTCAGCGTAATTGCAACCCTTCTGGTCGGGTTGCGGATTTATTCTGCCCGAGTCGTGACCAAATCACCATGGACGTTTGACGAACATGTTGCCATTGCGGCGTTGGTATGCTCATATCTCCTCTGCACTAGTTTGTCCCGACCTTAAACTGACTCTTTTGATTGCGAAGATCGCGAACCACATCATGCTTATCAGCGAAGGCATCGGTACGTGATTTTCACTTCGCGATTAACACATGAACTTCAGAAGAGAATGCTGATTTTCATACCCAGCGGTGAATTATGGGCTTGGAACAGAAATGACCCAGATCTTGACAGAATTCCCCGGCGGAGTCTCTGCCTTTCTCAAGGTATTTCATACGTCTGCTGGTGCAAATCAATCGTCTGACCTCACAGTGTATCCTCTCCATTGAGATAGCATACGGAGTTGCATGCCCCCTATCGAAACTGGCTGTGCTTACCATGTTCTACCGTATCTTCTCGGCTTCGAAGATCTTGCGGTACTGCGTGTGGGCAATCGCTTTCGGACTCATTGGGTGGGGAATTGCTGTGGTTGGTGTCAGTAGTGAGTACTCCGGAAACCGGCTAAGAATGAAGTAGTCAACGGTTTTCTGATCTAGTCTTGCTCAAGTCTTTTCCTGTACACCCATCGCGAGATTCTGGGACCAAACTATCCCCGGCACATGCATTGACTCGAGCAAATTCTACATTGGCATCACTGTACCAAACATCATCTTCGACATTCTTACGGTAGCTGTTCCGATTCACGAAGTCTGGAGACTACAAATGGGGCGCGAGAAGAAGCTCGCCATCACAGGCGTCTTTCTACTTGGCGGCAGGTATGATCCAAGGTTATGTGTCATTTGTGGTGGATGCAAGCTGACGCGATTACCCACAGCGTCGTACTCGCCTCGATTGCCCGACTGGTCCTCTTTATCATCTATCGACCTGGAGAAGGAGCAACTGGAAACAACATCAGTCAGACCGTAATCATTCCTCATGCGGCGTCTGCAATCGAAACATGCCTTGCTATCATTGGCGCATGCCTCCCGCCATGCGCCCCTCTCTTCCGTCGCTTTCTCGGTGGCGTTGTCAGCGTCGTGAGCTCCGGAGACCGATACAACTCGAGGCCCAGCGGAGCGGCCAAGTCCGGCAACTCGAAAAACTTCAACACCCTCGTAACGATTGGGAAGATTTCCAATCGTGGGGTGGGGCACCGCAAAGGCTCCAACGATGATGACCTCGATGGTTCCTTTGAACGCCTTGGGGACGGAAATAGTCTGCAGGGATCCACCGACGAGTTGTACGTGAATAACGAAAGCTCTGGGTCTCGCAGAGATCTTGGTGCGGAGGATGGAATACATGTGAAAAGAGAAGTTCACGTGGAAAGGAGTGGGAAGGTAGCGTCACAAGACGTCAGGGAATGGGTGACGGGCGACATTCCATTAGAGAGGATAACGGATCGTGAAAAGACATCCGCAGTTACAGGACTGGCTAGATAGATCATCTAATGATTGTCGTTTTTGGCCAACTTTGATCTATTGCGAACGGCCTTCCGGGCCTTTGCCGATGATTATACGGCCCCTCCGCCCGACACATGAGAGGTGGTTCCGGGTGCATGGTAAGCTAAACATGTTTGGCCCGGCGATCACTGGGACTTGCATGGGTGACCTTCGAGACTATCGCGCTGTTACGTTAGGCACATAACCAGCCAACTTCAGTCAGCCCACAGTATAATCGTTGGTCATGACTTGCAGACGAAGGGCATGCGTGGTGTGAGAAAGCGACGCCACAACCCGGATCGACCACATACGCAATGTTTGCTTGATCAAGAAATTGCTCAGCGGAGTCTTTGCTACATTGGGAAAACCGGCTTTCCGAGGGATTGTTTGTCAACTGGGCTACCACAGCCCAGATTTCGCCAGTGCTTGCACCTCGGGCAAGCAGTGGCGAGTGCCGTTGACCTGAAACTGGAGCACTTCCGTCACTTGGCAAAAGGTGTCAAGGCTAGGCTCTGAAAGCTCAAGCTTGGCCTCGCAACTGAAGCTGTTTCCGGTTTTGCTTTGGAAATAGATCATTTGCCATGTGCAGCTAACTCGTGAACAAAGCTATGCTTCGCCGCCAGTTTCGTCAACAAGGGGTTTGCCCCAGCGTTTTGCCGAGTCTTCAACTCTGCGTAGAGGTGAGACTGCACAACTGTACGTGGGTGAACCAGGTTTCATTTCGGCACAGCCATACATCTAATTCTTCCTCTCGACTTCAGATCCGAGTCTTTTGCCACAGTCGTGCTGGGATGGTACTCGTCCAAAAGACCCCAAGCCGTCTTGATTCGTAGGTGTTGGTCCATCTGCCATATCAGCCGCACGGATAGTCGAAAGGCTGAAGCGGGAAAACTGAGAAAATACGGTAGTTCTTTGTTCAAAGTCTATGGGAAGGATGCCTGCAAGGTCTTTAGATGTCGGGATCTTCAGCTTAGTGGGGTCGGCTGATCTTGCGCCGCAATCCTTCATGCAACAGAAGGCATCTGCAGGGTAGATAATGACGATGTCACTGAGGTGCACTATCTCAGAAGAAAAGCCGGTTTACGTGCGTCCATTTTCCAAGCGGCAAAGCATGCGTGCGGCGCACATTCCTACTACTCAAATGAGACGAACTTAGCAACTGCGCTGCCGCCGTAGATGGGTGGCGGGGTCTTAACCAACACAGTTTTGGTTCAAAACCCCTGTCAACAACTACAAAAAGGGAATATGCTCGAGATAAGAGCAGGCATCTTGCAGCGCGCGCTTCCAACAATGATGTGTTGGTTTCGTTCGTTGGCTTTTTTTCAGCTCAGCAACTGCATACTGAGCTGATTATCGACCGGCAACGTGTCGACTTGCTCTGCACGAAAACATGGTAACATTCAACACACCCACCATCTCGATTTCCTGTCACAGTTGAAACACCACACCAGTTCGAATCACTCTAGCGGTGTAAAATGGAAGATACAGATGATCCATTCAAAACGGTTAAATGTCGCACAACGGGAACTAGAACTGTCGGCAGACATGCTTTACGGCCGTTGTTACGGCCGATAATCCGTTGCTTGTTTGCTGCAGAATGGGTGCCCGGCTCCTGAACATGATTGACCGGGAGCCCGTGTTGGACCTGTTGGCCTTGTTGGCGCAACCGCCCGTTGGAACCTCGCCAATTGCCAAGTTCCGACCACGGCGCAGTCCACTGGCAAGTGGCCAGCATGGCAGGGATCTGATCTACGTGTCCTATGCAGAAGGGGTCACCGGCAAGCCACCCGAAAAGCCACTGGCCACAAGAGGACCCGAGAGCCCGCTGCTCGTGCCGTTATGGCTGCAGGACCCTCAGATCCGGCTCGGCGTTGATGCCATATTACACGCGACGTTTGCAATGCATGTGACATACTGCAGCCACTGCCCATCACTTCAGTCTCGTGTCTACGGAAGGGACTGTGCGACCAATATGACTGGAAATGCTCGACGGCTGCCGACTGACCTGAACTTGCACCCGAAAGGGACAAAAGACGTACCGGGGGCAATTTTCAATATTAACTACGACATTCCACACGACGTGTCACCAAAATGGCAGCCAATTGCGCGCTACATGTGCTGGCATTTAGCTTACCGCGGCACATAGCACGGCGCAGAGGAGCCCCCAACGTCCGCAGAGCCTCACAGCCCTCCCGGGGGTGGCATCGGGCGCTTACAGCTTTTGCATATGTAGTTGCACAGAGGAAAGAATGGTGGGAGTGATTGCGGGGCGGAAGGTCCAACGCGATTAACCCCGAATGATTGATACGAAGCAGTCGGAAGTGGCCAAGGGAGGGAGAACAAGTCAGGCTAATGAAATTGTCCTTCACTCTCGGTTCCATGCTGTTGGACCTCAACGCACTCACACAATCAACACCATGGGTTGTTGTCATTGTCTCGATCCCAGCCGACGAGAATCTCACGTTGGGGGGTTGAGGGATAAGCCACTGTTTGTGGACGGCATATATCCTAATTCGGGGTGTAGCTCCGGTCGATTCATGGGTACTGGTTGGCCCAATGCATGGTGATGTCTTTTCCAAGGTACAAAGAGACTTGGCAGCCCAATTACACGGACAGGCATGCCAGCGCCATCTGCATCCGAGTGGCATGTGCGTTTGGCTTCGAGTTGCTTTCGGGCCCCCAATCACAGCAAACGCAAATGAAAGTCAGATTATCAGGATGGGTAGGAAGAGGCCGTGTTTGCCCTGTTGCTTCTTATTTCGGACCGGCTTGGCGGTCTGCCGTGCATTGCATATTTAAAAGGATTACAGAGACGCTGTGTTACGGCTGCTTCGTGTGAAATGCCTGGCAGTTTGGGTCTTCCTCGTCGTCAACCGAACAATCCAACCTTTCATCAACAGTAACATGCTTTCTCAATACATTGCCTCGCAGGTTACAATCAGCCCTGCTCTTGGCCATGTTGCTACCCAATTACTGGGACGCTTCCTCGGTCACGGTCTGGTACTTGCCATTCCATTAGTCTTCACATACCTCTTGTATTCCTCGCTCAACCGAAAACACCTGCGGGTGAAGGGTGGAAGTGAACGGAGTATCATCAAGTTCCCTACGACTCTTTCCTTCATTACGGATCCACTGGCATTGGCTTTTGCTACGGAAAACTTCCTCCGTCGGCTCCAGTACGTTCATCTCTCAACGCTTTGATTACATCTATCTTTCTGATTACTTCCGCAGAGACGGGTGTCGCCAGGTCTTCCCTGTCTCTCTACCTGGTAGAAACCTAAGCATAGCTCTGCCTGGAGAGGGCACACGAGCATTATTCCGACAATCGAAGGAATATGTTCCTGTTCCTGGATTATTTGACGCTTTGACTGTTTTCTTCGGGTTGACGGCCAAGGACCATGCTGTATTCGACCACGGTCATGTCACCAGGTTCGAGCTTCACGACAGCGAAGGCCACCGAACCAATCATGTAGACCCGTCGCGGAGAATCATTGAACATCAGCGAAGGGATTTCACTTCATTTCTCAACGGCGATAGTCTGAAGGCCATCATGAAAAGATTCGAGAACAACTTCTGCAATGAACTCCAAGGACAACTACTCGATGCTCCAACTACCCATATCCCGGATCTCTACACATTCATCAGGGACTCCATATTCAAAGCCGAAGTGGAAGCTCTTTACGGGGAGATGATTTTCAAGATTTGTCCGTCATTCTGTCAAGATTTCTGGGATTTCTATGATGCGTTTCCCGTCATCTCCCGCCAACTCCCAAGGTGGCTGTTTCCGACAAAGTATCAGAAGAGAGACAAGATGCTTCAAAATCTCCACGCGTGGCGCATTCAATGCAAGGCTAAGCATGATTCTTCAGACGAAGGTCATCTCGACTGTGGGGAGTATGAACCAGTCTGTGGGACTCTCTATATCCGAAGAATGGTACAACGACACGAAAAGCTTGGATTTTCGGATGATGGAATTGCTTCAGCTCTCCTGGGTTACCTGTTTGTGTAAGTTTGTTCCATAGACTTGGTCCTGACTTCCGTTCACCTGCTTACCGGACTCACAGAACAACCGCAAACACAATACCAGCGGCAGCATGGATGATTCTGCACACGCTTTCGGACGAGTCGCTCACGTATCGTATGCGCCATGAACTCTCAATGGACAATCTAGCTCACCTGGATCTTCCCAGTCTGGGGAGCGCCCCCCTCCTCAACTCCGTCTATCGAGAGACACTCAGACTTCACGTTGCTGGCGCTACAGGCCGTACATCTCCTCAAACTGGATTCGGTTCACACCAAGCTGGTACTGTTACGATGACAGCAAGCTGGCTTGGTGGACTTGATACAACATTTTGGAACGAAGGAGCTGTCGTTGACAGTGTCCCGAAGCATCCTGTTGACACTTTCTGGGCTGAGCGGTTTCTGAATTATCCAGATGACCCCGGAAGCGGACCTCTCCGTAAAGCAGACAATTACCCACTTGCTGATCAATTCCCCATTATCTCGGACACGAAGACGACAACAGATGACTCAACAGCAACACTAAGCACAAGTGGTCTACGAGGGCATTGGTTCCCTTTCGGAGGCGGCGCGTGGAGATGCCCGGGTGAAACTTTAGCTAAAAACACCATTTTGGTCTCGGTCTGGTCCTTACTGCGGGACTTTGATGTACATGTTACGGATCGTACAGCCGCGTCAAAAGTAGTATTAGAGCCACGGCATAGGACCCTGCCTTTCGGCACACACGCATTTAGTCGGCTTGTTCCGGTTGACGTTACAAGACGAGCGACATACATAGAATAGTTATTTGTATCTGATTATTATCCTTAAATTTACAGTCATTACATGGGATGCAGCCGTTGCCTTTGCGCCTTCAAGTTGAGCCCAGCGTGATTTTTGGTGTCAATCCTTAAATGTTTGTTTTCATTAACTTCATTTTCAATTGACATACGTCGATTACGTTTCTATTAGCAGTTGATAGCCTCAGCCAGGCGACCAATTTGGTGAAGCTGCTCCCTTTTCTCTTTCTCTCTCCTAAATTACTGACCACCCCCTGCTGGTACGCATTTTTGGCCCTAAAAGGGTTCCAGAATCAGCTGTAATCATGAGCGAATCATTGAGATTTCAATGGCTGATGCATGGAAGTAGGTGCAATCTCAAGACTCGAGTGGAAGTCGTGGAGCATCGACATCCACTCAAGCGGGTATCAACCTGGTCGGTTAGCTCAGTTGGTCAGAGCGTGGTACTAATATGCCATCTAACATGTTAAGTAATGCCAAGGTCATGAGTTCAAGCCTCATACTGATCATCGCCGTTATTTTTTGAGGATGTCATAACTTTGCTGGTCCTCACGATGTTGAGCTGCATGACGGCACGTTCTGACGTAACTTTCTTAGCCAAGAATCTCATGATGAGATTAGTGCTAATGTTTCGGACTGTTTTGACAGCGCCGATGACGATTGCCGGATGATCATTTTGCTTTCCGGCCTGAGAAAGGGTTTTGAGCTGTGTTACGGGACGTGATCTCCGCATCCGGAGTGAGATCAAGAATCGTCTGAGAACAAAGAACATGGTCTAGACCAATTGCGCTCGGCAACCTCGAGGGGTAATAATGTCTTGGTACACCTTGCTCCACTGGCAGGCTGGCAGCTGAAGAATACAGTCTAGCCGTTTTAGATTGGATCTCAGTGTCCTTCGGCTTCTCAGCTGAACACTGCTTGGCCGTTGACCTCACCTGCCAATGCACCCAGATATTTTGATTGCCGTGGGTTCATGGAAGTCTTATTCCAGCGACTGGCAAACGTTCGACCATGTATGGAAATGAAGTCTCGCTGGAAAGAACTTCCGTACTTTAACTGAAGGTTCTCCTGGCGGTGTACAACGGCCGGTTCGCATGTAAAGGTTCACTTGGTCTAAAGTGTCTCGGCTGGCAACCCCCCACTTCCGGCGTCTGCGCCAAAAGTGGAAGACTTTTGCCCGGCAATGTCCCGAAGAGGAAAGCCTGGACTGGACCCCCAATTGGCTAGTTTATGTGCTTCGATTGTAGTATGCGCCGTGACGGAGCACCCGGTTGGACTCACTGCTGGGAACTGCTTCTTGTAACTCGGCATCCGCCGAGTTGAGACGAGGACCGGCGAGACCACCGACTAGCACAGTTGCTGGCTGCTTACTCTTCCACCCACCGATTCACAAATGAAAAGCCGTTGACAAAAGGGTTTGGTCATGAGCAGTTGTCCAATCCTGACGCACATCCGTGTCGATTCGCATCGAATAAGATCTACACTTGGGTATTGGATCAGCACTTGATGCCTGAAGCCGGAAGTGAAGAAGAGCCACTGACTGCAACGTCCTACATCGAACAGTTTGATAACACGCACTCAATCGGCCGGCCCTTTGCCATAGACATGAGCTGACGCGGCGAACGACGCAAGCTTTCTGGAGCCATTGTCCAGGTGAGAGCTCTTGATGTTCGGAGAGGGTCAAAAGAAGTCACAGAATGAACAAAAAGGTTTTCTCTAAGGCCGCAGCCGCGTCAGCAGAGGCTGTTTCTAGCGTCTCCGTAGTACGCTTCAACGAGGATTTCGCCTGTTAGCCACTCGGACCATGAGGAGCTACGGATGGTCCCGCGGCTTAGAACTCAACGTGAGGCTTGGATTGGTACAACCTAGCTCGTCCATGTTCCCGGAACAGCAGCTAGATTCTGCCACCACTGGACCCTGAAATTCGACAGACTTGAGATGTCATTTCCTGGTCATGAAGTTTGCCTATCAATCTCGCACCAGCAACGATGAGTTGGAGTTAGTTGAAAGGCCCAGATTTCTCTCTTGTGAGCGTCAGAATCGCTCCAGGATCACATCGATGACGTGTGTTGCACGAGTTTGTATACGTATGTTCCACAGCTGAGACGCGGAGCATTAGCGTAGACAGCACGTTGCACATGCATTGGTGCTGACTGGTCGGAGACTTGACAGTTCGGGAAATACTGCTGTGCCGACGGCCAAACTTGAGTTAATGCTATTCCATCATCGTGGGCAGTCGGGATTGCGGTGTTGCCGGGCGCTTAGCTTGGCGCGGCTCCCGAAACGCAACACAATCCGTCTGGGAAACGCTCGTGGGATGGGGTTGGCATGCTCTGATCCTTCGCAGCTCGGCGTGCATTCCTTCGCGCCATCAGCTGTCAACAATTATTAAAGGTTAGCGTGATCACCGGTCGGCAGAATACACGTCGCTGAAGATCGCCAAGTGCGAATAAGGCCGCCAAAGGTTTGACGCGTCGACATCGCACTAAAGCCGGAGAGCTTCCCTGAGCTAGTTAGGACCAGCAGATGCCGATCAAAACGAGATGCGGATCACGGTGGAGCTGACGTTGCACAAATTATCATCGCCGACTTCGTACTTGGCAAATAAGGTTATTGATGTTCAAGAGCTTATTGCCAAGAGAGGGGGAGATGACGGGGAAACAGGATTGCATTTCTACGCCCCTTACATGCCAATGAAATCACAGACACCTCTCTTTTGAAAATGCCCGGGCCATATGATACTGCGCTGACTCTGCCGCCACTGACGGGCGATAAGAACCGCTGGAATGCGTGTGTCTGGGCGATCAGGGGTAATTGAACTCTTCCGACGGAGGCGCGCTGAAGCTGTCTGGGCTTGCAGCATCTTGATCACGAATGGCTGCAAACACTACTGTTGCGTGGTTTTACTGCGTAGTTCTGGGCCATACTTGAGCGACAAAATCCCTCAAGTCTTCCAAAAGCGACGAAAGGTGTTTCGCATATTCAACAAAGAGCTCGTGGGCTAGATGGGGTGAGGCTGAGGGGGCTTGACTGCCGTCCTGCCGCACCAAAGCGAGACACTCTGTCTTACTGTTTAATTACCTGATGTCGTGGCTTGAGCGTCAAAGAATGGCCAATGGTCTCGAATGAGATGGGGACGAAAACGGCAAAAATACCGGCCTTTCCTGGAGAACTCGGAGGGCACTTGGGAAACATGGAATGATATATATGGCAGCTGGAACATCCAGGTTCAAGGGATTCTCTTCAGTCCTCCAGCTCACCTTTGCTACTCTCCCTTGACACATCGTGTCCATCTTCCCAGTTATTTTACGGGTATCCTTCAACTTTGCATTTGGCAGGAACCATTTTCTTGTTCTTTTATTTCTTTTCGACACTTGCCCGACTTTCGAATCCCGGAGATTAGATAATTCTGTCCACCATGCGTTTCTCGACCAGTGCAACTCTCTCAGCGGCTCTGCTTGCTACCAGCGTCACGGCGCAAGCCCCTGTTCTTGTTGATGTCCAGAGTCTGCTCCCAGCAGCCGGCACTCCCGCCATCTTTGACAAGACCACGATCATCCGGTCAACTTCCATCCTCACAACCACGGTCAAGTTGACCAGCTCAACGGGCTTGGCCAACTCGACCATCAGCAGAACATCCAGCACTAGATCGTCCAGCAGCAGAACTGCTTCCGCTACCTCTATAACCTCGCCTACATCGATTCCAGGCATTACCGCCGACCAGCAGAATGCCGTAAACCTTCACAATGAGGCGCGAAAGCTTGTTGGATGTTCACCCTTGACCTGGGACGCCGGTCTTGCCAACGACGCTCAAGTATACGCCAAGACCCTCGCGAGCATCGACAAGCTACAGCACGACGCGAACAGAGGAAATGAAGGCGAGAACCTCTACTACCAGTATGGCAGCGGCAGCCTCCCGTATGCTGCTGCTACCACCTGGTGGCTCAACGAGAAGCAATACTACACCGGGCAGGCTATCCCTCTGGTCAGCTCGAACGGAAAGCAGTTCTCAGACTATGGTCACTACAGTAAGTTACATCGTCCAAGAGCAGCTGTCATCTCAACGAAGAGCAACTTTCTAACAGCATCCAGCTCAATGCGTCTGGAAGACTACCACCAAGGTTGGAATGGCTACTGCGCAGTCTGCCTCGGGTAAGACCTATGTGGTCGCTCGCTACTCACCAGCTGGTAACATGTAAGTTCCCGCCATTCATTTGCCTTGAGATTTTCCACTAACTTGATGAAGTGTTGGTCAAAAGCCCTACTAGTGCTGAGGGTGAAAGTGTGGGAATATGGGCGTCGGTAGAGGGAGTTTGTGGTTGGAGCCTTATATTGGCCGATTCTCAGTATAAAATTTGGCGGTGTCTGGCTAGCAGATTTGTTTTCTAGACATAGATTTCTAGACAAATTTAGATATTAGATTCTACAGTGGCCCCTAATCATATCGGTGATCCTTCACTCCTGGTCATGATAAGAGGCGCGGCCAATATCACAGGAGAAAATAACAAGCCGGGATCAAGTCAATGCGGTTTATGTATTTGTATTTCGAAAGCAATTGGAAAGTTGACTAGAAAAGTTCCATCTCCTCTGAACGTGGCGGCGACAGCGAAAATTGCATTCCGCTCCATGGTTCTCCCACAGCCCCTCATATGAAGATATGCGTCTGCGTAAAGAGACGATGCGCGACCTGGCCCGTATGGGCGCTTGTAGAAATTAAAATCCCTGTAGTAAGATAAGTTCCCTGGCACCCCTAAAGTTGTTAATCCTGAACATAGTCGGGGATTTTTGGCATCCAGTCGTTGTCCTCGTCTGCCTGTTGCTTCTCGATTCGGGAAGCCTCGCTGTTCAACTTGCCTCGCAGGAGCGACAGCCTTGCGTCACGCCTCATTCTTGTAGGTCGCTTTCCGGACTGTTCCTCCCGCCGAGCCCAATATTCGTCAATTAGATGGGCCGGAAGTAGGCTCGCTGGCTCCCATGTGTGCTTCGGATGTCCCACCCACTCGACCAAATATCGATCATCACCAGCTCGTGAAGCCCTGAAGTCCATGATCTCGTGCACCAACCACATCCCATCGTTATTCATGAAGAGGTGCCTGCCGCCCTGGGAGGCCCAGTACTCAAAGACAGCAGACTTGGCGTCCTGGTGGAGGCACTCCTCAGACTCCCATGTTGTCGAGTTATCTTCCCATTGAACGAGCATCTCAAAGGCGTCGGTGCCATCGAGAGTGTCGACTTTTCGGTGGCTGCGGATGCTTTGGAAGGCGTAGTAGGTCGAATCGTCTGGTGCGGCATCACCGTTGTCAGCATTCACGGAAAGGTGTCGTATGAAGGCGAGAAACAAGGCATACCTGCTTGAGAACCATTGGTGTCATCATTGGAAGGCTCTGTCAGCTGGGATTTGGGCGTCGACAAAGACTCTGGCGTGGGAAGCGCCAAATCGCCGTTGCCACGGACCTTTGAGGGGGTATCCCACTTCATTTTCGTTGACTCCAGCTCGTGGTCGCGATCCCACGGTGTGCGGCATGGGCCAGGTTGCGGATACGGGGTCTCGGAAGGGGGATGCGCAGTGGAAGTTGAGATTTACCACGTCGTCGAAGAAATGAAAAGCTCACATAAGGTATGGTATAGTCATGTGGAAATGGAAGGACCCCTGGGGGCAGGATTCAAGGCAGTTGCATCTTGCAGTAAGCTACCTAAGGTTGTTCCTGCTGGCACTGAGAAGGAAGGCTCTCGTCTCGCTCCTGCCGGCACAGTGCAGGTACTCTCAGAGGCTGTCATGTCGTGGGAAGAAAGCACCCAAGTTGTTACAGTGTACCTTCCTCATCTTACCTTAGGTATACTGCAGAAGGAAGGTCCGTCTTTGGGCAGGACCAGCCTGGACTTCCCGAGATCTCTTTCCTTTCCTAGAGGCCCTCTATTGCCCGGTCTTCCCCTCTGAACCTGCCATCTCTGCCCAATTTATCACGGTATTGACATGAAAAGAATAGCTAAAATTTGGCTCGAGACGACTGGGACAAGGGAACACATGCTGGTCATGTTCACACTGCACTCTTTTGGAAAGTGCAATCCCGTCCGATGATTCCGGGTATCGGCGCCGATGGATCCACAGCGGCCTGGCGTTGTAAGTCGCCTGAAAGGGACTAGCGCCGTCAGCCCTGGGCGTCTTGTGCTTTGCCGATGATCCTCCGAGGGATTCTCGGGTTTTCCTGTGTCCGGTGAGTGCTCCAGGCGTCCATCTCCGTCTGCATCCTCTCCCTCTCGCTACCGCCCTGCCGATCTTACATCCTTCGACTCCTCGGCCCTCGCACCTTTTTTCGGTGCCGGCCCCTCTGCAATCAACCAATGCAGAAACAGTCGAGATGTCCGATGTACCCCGACCTCCGCTCCTCTTCGAAACGGCCTGACCGTCGTGCGCTCGTCGAATGCACCCCGAATCCCCACTGAACCGACCAGCCCACGACCGAAGTCTTGATTGTCGATATGCACTTCGAGTGGCTTTTTTGGAACACCGAGCGCGAATCGCCTTCCGACTAAATGACAGATAAGCAATTGAAATCGAAGTTCTGCGCCGCGTTGGAGCCACGTGCGATTTCGCTGGCTAGGGAATCGACAAACAGTCGACGAAACCGTTCGACGCCTCCTACCGCGGCACACCGGAAGACCTTCGATGTTCGATCTTCGATGGCGACAATAAAAAGGAGCCCACGTCAGGCCCTCTCTGGTTCGACAACAATGCGTGGGGCAACATGTCTGTCGGTTGTCGCATCGGCGGGGAGACAGCTTGCTGCACCGAATGCCGATACCGACCTCTCAGCGCTCTCTGTAGTTGTCGTCGTGAACCGACTTGCCCGAGTCGCCTGAACTATTGCGTGGACAGCATCTTGTTTGCAGCCGACGCTTCCCCACATGCCAGCTTCGCATATTCTTCGTGTCCACATGTGACCTTCGGCCAAGGTACTCTGATGGCCTCTCAACCTATACCAGTGCTGTTGTAGCAGCAAGAGATCTGGTAGAAGATCTCGGATCTATCCTTCAAACGAAAGCTGCAGCCAGACCGATGCACGGGATGACTGGAAAAACTTGCGAGGGGAGATTCTTCATGTGCATCCTCGTGAAAACCTTCACCTACACATACTCATACAGAACAATTCTTGTGATTTAGACCCCAAACTTGAATTCCCGGTACTTCTTCTGATAGTAGAACGTCGCCGCTGCACCTGCAAATGTGAGGGCCAGTGGTATGGGTGCTTTCCCTCCAGTCTTGATGGCCCTGGAGGCGCCGGCGCCAAGCAGCACGATGCTGTTTCCGAGAGCGAGTTCCGCGCCGTAGTCCTTGTTCTCCTTGAGGAGGTAACCTGGCAGAGCATTACTTCTTGCTCACCAGCTGTGACGGGGAACACTCCGCGACTTACCAGAGTACGCGTAGGCGGCTCCAAGTCCAAGACCCGCGATGAGCGACGGCTTGGACTGCGTCTTCAGGAAGCCGGCAGTGCCGCCGACGGCCACTGAAAACCATGTTAGGCATATGCACTATTGTCAGTCGGGGAGATCATCACTCACAGAGGCCGGCAAGAGTAAAAGACGGGTGGTGAGCCATTGCGATAATTCGATTGATAGACTTGATGGGATGAACGTGAGAGGCGGCATCAAAGGCAAAAGCCGTTCATCCCGGCGGGAGCCGCGCTGGGGATTAGTAATGGTCCCGGCGGTAAAGCTTCGGCAATTTCGTCAACCTTGAGGTCGAGGTGGCTTCCTGACGTGATGGACCTCCACGAGAAGAACTCAACGAGCCACTCTATGCGTGTCTTTTCAGCGTCCTGGAGATCCCAAGTAATATCCCCGAAAGACTTATGATGGTTCATTAATGGAATTGTCTCCGGTTTTCCTGGCTAAGTACCTACCTCACTCCACCCCCATGGATCCTGCCGACACAACTGTGACCTTCCTAGAAGCCCACGCCTCAGGCTCGCAAGTTGCGTCACGTTCGTCCTTCGCGCCTTAGAAGCCCATATTCGTGATCGGGTAAGAAAGCCTAATTGTCTTTGAAATACCCGTTTCGCTTCGCGTCACCTACCTGATGTTCACCCAGCGTGCTGCTACGATCGCGTTCAGGAGGAGTTCGTGGCCAGCCGACCCCCCACGCTGCGGGTCTTGAGCTGGACTACCATCGGCTTCGGTATCCACATCCGATATGGTGTAGTGGCCAACATGATGCCCTCTCATCTCAAATGAGAGGTTAGGCATAGCCCCGAGTTCGATTCTCGGTTTCGGAACATTTTAATCTTTTTGTGTGAATCGCTGGGCCACCTCCTACCTCTCCCTGTTTTTCTTTCGAATTTCATACAACACGTTCTCCAAAATTCGAAGACGTTTGCTTGCCTGCTAGTGAATTAATTTGGACAGGTGCGCTTTCGGCCTGTACTTTGTCTGTTATGACCACAGAAGGCTGCTGACAATCCAAGCCATTGGCAGGCAGCCACGGTGCGACTAGGCAGCCTTCTGAATTGGCCTCTGAATATTGGTAGCTAACATTGATGAGAAGAAGCCAGCCAAGGAGCTACTGTCACTGACTGCACCTCCTCTTCAACTCTTCTCAATTCACGATGACGACTGCAAAGATCTCCCACGTCCCTCAGATCCAGCTGCTCTGCATGGAAAAGCAGTTCGCTGTCGCGTTCGCCAAAGCACGCAAGATTTGGGAGCTGCATGAGTCGGTTTCCGTCCATGTTCACGAGTGCCCTCTCATTTATCTATCAGAAGATGTCCAATTCGACACCATCGTATCCCCTGCCAATTCGTACGGCCGCCTCGACGGCGCATTCGACGATGCCATCTCTCGCGCCTTGTCGCCTCGCGACGACTACCTCGCCCTGACGCACGTCGCCCAGCGACAGCTTTATGAACAATGGCGCGGCTTCGCGCCCCCTGGCACATGCACGCTGGTCCGCATCCCCGACGAGTTTCGCGCCCGCTCTCGCAACGTCTGGGGCACTCGTCGCGTCGCGCTCTGCCCCACGATGCGAACGCCCACGAACGTCACCTGGGACCGGGAAATCGTGTACGAATGTGTATGGAGCTTGCTTTGCGCCATTGACAACCATAACCGCGACGTCCGAGAAGGCAAGACCGCAGAGGGCGAGGAGATTCGCAGCGTGCTCATGACTCCGCTGGCGACGGGTGTAGGACGTGTGAGCCCCGAGAAGTGGGCTTCGCAGGCCGTCCTGGCAATCAATCACTTCGTCCAGGCCTCTGAGAACCCCGAGAAATGGAGCAAACTTGACTGGGCTGATTTTGACGGGCCTTGTGAAGAGGTGGCGGCTACTTGGCGAGACACACAGACTTGATGGGGCGCATGGTGTCGTGCGGACCCCGGCGATGGTGTACACACCTCGATCTTCGGCCCTGCGGCAAGACGCGAGACATGCAGGCGATCACCAAAGTTTCAATTTCTAGACTACTTCTTTTCAATCTTGTACTCGTGCATATGTATCTATTAATCAGCGCGACCTGTCTAGTCACATGTGGCACTTGAGTGCTTGGGGATCCATCGAACGAAATTGGTGAGACACGAGTTGCGACCTCTTCTTCGTCAGAACCGGTTTCTGCTGCCGTAAATGCACCTGCGTACTATCGCTTATGAGAGAGAATAACCTTGCACGTCTTGCCCCGCGGCTCAATCAGGACCAAGTTATCCATCTCCATGCTCTCAGGCGTTGTCGCTGGCGAAAGCTTGGCGCCTTGGAACTTGCGAAAGAACATGGTGATTCCATAGCGAAGCTCCATTTCTGCCAAGTGCCTACCAATGCACACTCGGGACCCCGCTCCGAACGGCGTGAACGCGGCCTTGGCGGTCTCCGAGTTGGTGCTCTCCCCGTCAGGCATCCATCGAGAGTAGTCAAAACTGGAATCGTGTTAATGCTTGAAAATCATGCCGGCAGGGACCAACTCATACCTTTCTGGATTACTGAAGTTCTCTGGGTCTCGATGCAAAGTCCACGATTGGGTTGCAACATCGGTTCCAGCGGGGAGATGGTAGCCGCCAAGCTGGATGCCGCCGGTAGGAACGACGCGCGGAAGTGGCGTAGGCGCGGCGCCATAGAGTCGCAAAGTCTCTTCTATCACAGCGTGAAGTACGGGAAGCCTCTCCAATTCCGCATCAGTGAAATTGTCACTAAGCCCAAGGACTTCATTCTCCAAAGCAGTCTGCAGCTCCGGGCGCAACAAGACAGCCCAAATACCGTACGTCAAGGTGTTAGAAGTGGTATCGGTACCGGCGATCATGAAGGCTGCAGCTTCGACGCAGATGTCCATATCTGTCAGAGAACCTTCGTCCTTCTCTGCTTGGAAGAGGACCTTGGAGAAGAGATTCGAGGCCTGCGACGCCGCTGCTTGCTTGCTGTTCTTGACGGCGATACGGCCCTTGTCGAGCAGTACCTTGTAGGAGCTGAACATTCTCAGACTTCCAATGAAAGGAAGCCGTTTGGTGACCGCATAAAGCCATGGAAAAGACAATGCGGTGAAGGCCGCGGTGTTGGCGAAGTTGACCTCCTCGAACCATGGGTCTTCCTACACAAAATCGTCAGACTGAAGCCCGGTTGAGAGGATCGGCGATGTCCTACCTTTCCGGCCTTCAAAGCGTCAAAAGACTCTCCAAACATGAGCTTCGAGACAACATCGCATGCCATGAGAATCCACCACTTGCGCATATCTACTTCACCGCTGGCAATCTTTGCGTCGATGGTCATGCCCTCGAGGGCCATTGTGACCTTCTCACGCACCATGTCTTCCCAGTCTGCACGGAGTGAGGAGGATGTGAAGCCCCTACCCAGGAGCTTGCGTCTCTGAGAGTGGGCATGCTGGTCGGTCATTTGGAACAAGCCGTACGGAGGGCTGCCGGCCTCGGTTGGCCCGAAGTAGTGGTAGTATTCGGCTTTCGTAAACTGGCTTCCGACCTTGTGGATGGTCTTGAAGGCCTTCACGTCTGACACAAAGACCTGGCCTGGTGATGCACGTACAAAGGGGCCATATTGTTGGTGCAGACGGTGGTAATACTGAACTTGCTGCCGCTTGAGGGTCGCGATAGTGCCAGGCAAGCCGGTAAATTTCGCGTACCAAGGACCGGGGATTGCGTTCAAGGGGTTGGTGAAAATCTGAGGAAGGTCAGAAGAAAGATATTAAGTTTGGGATTGTGCAAGGCAAACCTGGTAGAGTTTGATCAGTATATAGACTGCCGATGTGGCGGCAAGCAGGGGAACGAAAGTCAAAGTCATTTCCGTGGCATATGACAGGGGACTATTGTAGAAAGTTTAGTTACAGAGTTTGGTAGCTTTCGCAATGACCTAATGAGGTCTTGAGACGAACGAATCTATATAAATGACTATTTCTCAGTCCGTATCGTCTCCTGCTGACAATGATGCGCTTGCACGATGTCGACGTCAGCACTTGTCGGCGCTCGGTAGTATGGGCGGACTCCACATGACGCCGGACTTGGAGAACCGTAAGAAGACCGACATTGCACCGATCGAGTAGGCCACCCACAACGTCCACATTGGTAATGCTGCCAGACGGCCTGGAGGTATCGCGGCATCCGGAAATTTTCCTTCGTTCAGAGTCTTGCCAAGATGTACCGCGCGCTTTCGTGCTTATGTTCTTTGACCGACGTCGCGAAAAAGTGGAAGGCGCACCGCTCGCTGGGTGCCGTGACCTGAGCACGAGAATTCTGATGTATCTGCTTCTGGAACAACTCTCCGGTAAATTTCCAGCGATGGGATTCGAGCTCTTGCGTCACACGCTATGCTCCATAGAAGTCGAAATGAAGTGAAAACCCTGCGTTTTCGACGGCGAAGAGGATGCCGTCATATGCCGGGCCTTCCCGTAGAGCCTCCAACTCGGCGACTGCTGCATCTGCAGGTGACTTCGAGCGATCTTGGAGGCATGCGAGTGGGTTAAGGTGCCTGTCATCGGCTGCGCAACCGCTCAGCTGCGCCATTGGGCGATTGGTCGCTCGTGCATGTCTTCTATAGAAACTCAAAAAGTGAGCGTTTTTCATCGCTACCCGTCAAGCTGCGTGAGGCGAGATCTCCTCAATCTTGTTGCAGGGAAATTTGAACTCCTTCCTTAGGGAAACCATCTGTCCATGTAGATGCCTTTAGGTGTGTGAAGTCGGATGTCGTCTTAGGCCCGAACCGCCCTTGGTAGTTGGGTAGAGCCGAAGGGCGCCTTGCCTTCTACAACAACTAAGCCAGGTCCAAGGGATGCTTTTTATCCGCAACTCTGACCCCTCATCTTGCTGGGGCGTTGTCGCATGTCAGCCATCTCTCCAATTAAACATCACGACCCTTTGGTCTCGATCATGCGTCCCGGCAAAGAAGCTTTTAACGACACACAACGTGGAGGCCGTTAGACGATGTTGCCGATCCGAGCGTGTGCAAATTGGAAACGATCAAGGAGTCAACTGGTGAGACTATCAAGGCAGACCCACGAATAGAGAGACAGAAAAACCAAAGAGAAGCACGTTGAACACTCTCATTATCATGGGGATTACTTCGGATATTGAAGGCGGTATCGCCGCTGTATTCGTGAGGGCTTCTTGACGCGTTCCTCCAAAAGCCGAGTTTGACAGACGTATTTTGCTTCAACCTCTTGTACGCACACGCAATATTCCCAGCAAAGCCTCCGTCCTGCAGCCCGGACATGCTCGACTGGCCAATACCAAAATGACGACACCATTCGTGAAATATCTACCTAAACCTGTGCCAGATGTCTGCTCGCTGCTTGAACTTTGTCAATGAAAGCCAAACGATAGGTTTGGAACTCGTTTTCGGCGTCTTGTACAGCCTCATCGACGTTACGTTTCGCCTCTGCCAGTAGCTTGAGGTCAGACTCAATAGCATCGAAACCTCTCTCGCAGTTCCGGCCCTCTTTGATGCTTAACCAGGCCTTGTCCATTCCATCCCTAAGGTCCATCATCCGCGTCTCGACGAGAATCTTGGTCCCCTCAAGTAGTCCGATGCGTCGACCGCAAACCAATCCGAAGTCAAGAAGAGTATTAGCGAAAACAGAGACGGGGGTCTCAACCGCATCGTTGGGGCTATTCTCCAGCATAGAACCACTGCCACTTGGGTCTTCCAAAAGCGACCCTGGCGTAGCATTGAGGTCGAGGCGGTCGGAAATGCCTCTGCCAGGAGAAACTTCCCGCGAAGTCCTCGAATCTGGTGTAGGGATGGAAGTGCGATGTAAGAAAATATCGGTGCCTCCAGTCGAGTCGTCGGATTCTACGGAAATGGTGCTTGCCGGGTTGGCGCTTGCGCTGTCCTCCTCGTTGGGCTGATCGCGGTGGGCGGGGCCTGCAACGTCTGTGGCATCAGTCAGTAATGGACCATCGACAGTGGTTGCTGCAGGATGAAAGTGGTAATGGGTACCTCGCGACTCGATATCTTGGTCTGAAGCAGGCTGTGCTTGTAGGCCAGCCGCCGCCGAGGTGTCGATCATCCCGGTCTCATGGGCAGAAGGTGCCTCGGTCGTGGCCTACTGGCAGTATTAGCCGAAAATATCCAATGGGGATATATTTGGCGACGGATTCTCGCATACCTTGCGCGAGTCCGGAGCGAAGGTCTCGCGAGGGCTCATCGCGGTCGTCGTTCGAGAGATGTGAGTTGTCAAGTGACGGAGCGGATGGGTGGGTGGGTGGCGGAGGAGGAGGTTTGAGTAAGGTAGTGAAAAGAGACACTTGGGACTGCCTGAGGTAGCTAGATGAAGTAGGTAGGAAGGTACCTCCTTCCATTGTTGTCGGGAAAATGGTGGCAGGCGGCCGGGTTGGATTCAAAGCAAGGTGCAAGGAAGGAGCAGCCAAAATCCATCGGCTACTTCCTCGCCAGGACACGCTCACTGAGGTAGTGGTCATCAAGGAGGCTCTGAACGACATCAAACAATATGCCAGTCGAAAAGAAGTTGATTATGTATCACTAAAAGTAGTACTAGCCTATCAAAAAGGCACATGTTTGATCGCGGGACTTGCTCGGCGAGCCATCATCGCCCTTCGCGACCATTTATCTGGTAGCAATGTCCCGTTGTCCACCACAATCAATCATGAAGAATATCAGCATCTATAAATGCGGCCTGACGCAGTCTCTTTCGGCCTCTTGGGCTACGTTGATGCGCTTCCAGCTGTCCATCGGCCGGCCATTGGTGTTCGGCAAGAGTCAAATTCTCCTGGCTAATGGCCAGACCCTGTGTCCTCGGGACGGCACTGACGTCGTCGCCCCATTTCCCTGCCTGTACAAGCCTTGTGCGTGACTGAGAAGCACTGCTCATACCTTTATTCGTGGTAGCCAATACTGACTGGTGGCCTCACCATCAGCGGCGCCCTCGTCCCATCACAGCACACGGGCTTCACGAGCGGAATGCCCCGGACCGGCGGCGTTGTGGTGTCCGTGTCAGATACTCTGCTGTCTTCTTGACGACCGCTCATCGCTTCAAGACATAGGTCCAAGGTAGGTTGCGCCGTAGAGATCGGGTCTGCTGCGCGCCAGGTTGCGATGCAGCGCAGAGAGAAGGGGCCAAAGAGGAGCAAGCCCGACTCTTGGTGGGCTTGGTGTGCTTAGTGCCGAAGGAACCGTGATAAACTGCATGGACGGCAGGATGAATTGAGATTGAGCCTGAGCTTGAAGGACGGGAGTCATCATCGGGACTTGGTATTGCATCTGTTGCTGCCACAATTGCTGCTGCTGAAGTTGTTGAATCTGCTGGAGCTGCTGGAGCTGTTGGAGCTGTTGGATTTGGATGGGAGTAAGCATGACTCCAGGCGTCATCGCCGCGGGCGCGACTTTCAAGGATGCTTCGGCAGGCGCAGGCGTTGCGCTGAACGGCTCCGGGTTACTGCCTTGGCCGAGGTAGACATCGTCGTCGTGAGCCCAGTCCTCACCCCATGCCATCTCTGCCTCCGCCGGAGAGCTTGGAAGCTCGCCTGTGCACCATGACTCCTTGTCGGCAAGCGACGCAACCGATGAGAAAGGAGAGTTAACTTCAGAAGTCGAGCGGAAGGCCGAAGTCGGGCTCCAGATGTCACGGCCGGAGCTTGGAGTTGATGACGTGGTTTGCGGAGATGAAGGGAGTTGGGTGAAGTAATCGTCGTCGTCGGCGTCAACGACTGGTGAATACGGAGATGACGGGGCTTCAAACACGGCCTTGAAGAGGGACTCGCCGATGAGTGCGGAAGCTACTCTACCGGCCTCGGAAGATGGAGAGAGAGGCCCATCGAGTTCGGAGTCTAGGTCCAGATCGAGGTCAAGGCCGAGCAAGTCAGGGTCGGAATCGGAGGCGGCACCGGATGTGGAGATGAAAGGGGAGGCGAGCTGGGGGATCGACACAGGAGGGCTGAAAGCCGGCGCTGTGGGGTTCAGAGTGGGCAACATTGCGCCTTGGTTTGTTTGGCTGGCAGCAAAGAGAAGGGAAATTGTGAGAGTAACGACTGGCGTGGAATGAGAAACGTGTTCTAGAGACTAGGAGACAAAAACGAAGGGGAGTCTGGGCTAGATAAGTGAGGATTCGTGGAGGACATCCGCAGCGGGGACGGTTGGGAACATTAATACATTGATGCAACTTTGGACGAGCTGGTGGCCCCTTTATGCCATGTTCGTCCGGCATGGCGACAGGATGAGGGCAAGGTAGGGCGAGACGAGTGTTTTCGCACGGGTAAATGTCAAGATAACAACCTCAGGTAGGGCAGTCCTGTTGGTCGGTCGCGCTGGACTCATGCATGATCCCTGGAGGGTGCATAAGGTTATTTTCTCATCATTCGCAGCCACTGGAAATTGGGATGGTCATTGATTGGATCCAGGAGGTGGTGGGCGAAGGCTTTAGCCGCCCGCGTAGCCAATAAATGACGGGCCCGATCACCCTACGGACCAACCTTGAAATCCTCTGCATTCTCGCCGTCTCGATTCGGTGGAATCGGTAGAAAAGTCCCCCTTTTGGGTTTGCGCGAGACGACGGGGATGGATTGACCTTGTAAGAGAAAAATCGCCGAGTTGTGATTCTGCCCAGCCCACGGACTCATAAACCCTGTCGCGTCGGATTCTGGGGAGGTGTTGTCTGCTCACCACTCGCCGGCCAGCGCCGGCGCGATTTGTTGGCGGGGTCATTGCGATGCGGCCGGCCCAAGACGGTCTCTGTTTGTCCCTCTTCGTGTCTGCACGGCCACTGGAGTCTGGATGCCAGTTGTCTTGCGTCTTGTCTTGCAGATGCCTGGGCCATTGCATTGGGGGCATTGGGGGCAGGGACGGCAGTCTCTGGTCAGTGGTAGCACGTCCAGACGCGCCCCCATTCCTCGTGGGATCATGTTTGCATTGCAGCGCGCAACGCCTAGAGGCTAGAGGGAATTGATAGGTATCCGTACGCAGGCTGGTCCTGGTCCTGGGGGCGGCGGCAGCGGCGACGGCGGCAGCGGCTGTCGACTGTTCAAAAGAGTTCAGACGAAGGGCCGTGTTGGTCTCATCTATTCTCATAAGGTTGGTCTCATCTATTTTTCCCCAACTTGTTCTTCGGGTCGGCCGTATTAAGCAATGATGGGCGCCGGGTTCTGGACTTGGGACGAAGCCCTGCGGTTTCGCGTTCGTGATGTGCTGGGGTGATGCCAACTGATTCGGGCTGATTCAAGTGAGGCATCCTCGGATTTGGCAGAGTGCCCCTGACGCTATTCCCAACACGGCCGCCTGAGGAAAATCTGCGGCATGGGCTGCCCGGTCGAATGTCGGAAGGACCGGACGGTGGGTCTCGATGCTCCATCACGTGAGCGGACATTATCTAAGCCGTCCGTCTCCCTGCTGACATAACCACGAAATCCTCTGGCGGACCTTCTGCTCCGTCAAGTCGCTGCGTCAGCCAAATTCTGGCCAAGCTCTCAACAATCATCAGCTCGAGGCAAAGAGCAACGCTTCAATTCATACTTCGTCTCTTTCTCCCTACAGATGCGATCTATGGGCTACCCGCACATTACCCGTCACCAGAGTTTTCGTCGTCAAGTAGTCCTCAATGCCGTATTTGCTCCCTTCTCGCCCAATCCCAGAGTGTTTAATACCCCCGAACCTAATCCCGAGTCAGCCAAAAGTCAAAATAAAAATCGACATCGGGGACGCCTACGGAGCGGCTGCATCGGAAATGACCCCGGTGTTTAAGGCCACCATCCCAAACTGCAGCAGTTCGGACACCCGCGTCGCACGGTTGAGGTCGTTGGTGAAGATGTAAGATGCGAGGCCCACGTCACACCGGTTGGCGGCATCAACCACCTCTTCCTCCGTCTCAAATGACAAGATGGGAGCCACCGGGCCGAAGATTTCCTCCTTCAAAATCCTCATGTTCGGTTTAAGATTCGTGATGACGGTGGGCTCGAAGAAATTTGGCCCTGGTGAGCGAAGTGAGTATCCATTCTTGGTATTGGGATCGCTGTCCGGAAACCTACCAAGATCCGGCCTTGCTTTCCCTCCGATTTCGACACAGCCGCCTCCCTGAACAGCGTCGTGAACGAGACCCGCAACCCTCTGAGCAGCTTCGGCGCTGACGAGAGGTCCATGAGTGACTTCCTCGTCGAAGCCGTGTCCAACTTTGAACTTGCTCATTTCCTCCTTCAACTTGGAAACAAACGCTTTGTGTATACCCTCTTGCACAAATACTCGATTCGCGCAGACGCATGTTTGTCCCGACGACTTAAACTTGCTTGCAATCACACCGGCTACTGCGAGATCCAGGTCCGCATCCTCAAACACCAGAAAAGGGGCATTGCCACCTAGCTCCAGGCTCATCTTCTTCAACGTCTGACTGGACTGTTGCATGAGAAGCTTTCCGACACGTGTTGATCCCGTGAAGGAGATTTTACGGACGATCTCAGATTGGCACAATGTCGCCCCAATCTCTGGAGTGTTTTCGAGGGCCGAGATGATGTTGACTACGCCCTTTGGCACACCCGCCCGTTGACCAAGCTGCATGACAGCATTGGCAGTGAATGGTGTCTCGCCAGCGGTCTTCACCACTACAGTGCAGCCGGCAGCCAGTGCTGGCGCTAGCTTCCTTGTGACCATCGCGGCAGGAAAGTTCCAGCTATTCCATCAGTCGATCAGCACAATCCATTCAACTTGTCGTGCTAACGGAAGATCGTACTTACGGGGTGATGAGACCACAAACACCGACCGGCTCTTTCAACACAGACACTCTCATGTTCGGGTTACTGTGGGGTATCACGTCTCCATAGATTCGTGCTGCTTCTTCGGCAAACCATTCCAGAAAGCTGGCAGCAAAGACCACCTCGCCAGCCGCATCTGCCTTTGCTTTGCCGTTTTCCCAGGTAATCAAGGTGGCTAAGTCGGTCTTGTTCTCCATGATCAGGTCATACCATCGACGAAGTATGCGCGCTCGATCTCGACCGGATCGAGATCTCCAAGCCGGCAGCGCCGTAGCTGCCGAGAGAATGGCGCGCTCCGCATCTTCAGACACAGACTCGGGGCACGAGCCGATCAGCTCGCCCGTAGCGGGATCTGATCTATGGTCAGCTGCCGAAGAACACTGCGAATGGGGGGCAAGGCAGGACTCTCTGGTAGACCGTAGGAGCAGCGGGGAAAAACGCATATATGAACTCACCTGTGACATTGAACGTTTTGTCAGAGACGGAATTCACCCAATGGCCATTGATGAAGTTTTTTCCAATGAGCAACGACTCGTCTTGGAGCTGGGGTTTGAAAGGCATAGTGTTTTGTCAACGCTGCGTGGGAATCAAACGTTACTTTCCTCCGTCAAAGCGAAGGGCTTGCGTAAAGCGGTCATCGCAGGCCAGGTCTTATGAACAAATCCCATCCGGAGCGATACTACGAACGCGCCTGGACACTTGTGATGGCACCGAGATCGGCTGATTCGCTTTTCGCCGGTACCGTCCATATCGGGGACAAACCGGAGGACATCTCATCCTGCAGGCCCCACCCCGCCGGGAGCGCCGTGCAGATGCGCCGCCCCACTTCCCCGGCGCCAGAAGTGACATCCCAGAACCGGCGTCAGCCAGTGAGATTCCAATTATTGGCTCGGACAAATGCGGGGATGGCTGGTGCGAAGTCTTGAGCGGGACGGTGAAGAGATGAATGGTCTCACTCGCTGAAGTGGGGTAAGAAGCTAAGGTTGCCCGGCGGAAAGCCGAGCGACAATGGAAGGAGCCAAGAACGAAGCTGTGAGCCAACATCTGAACAGTATTACGCGACTGATAATAGCAGGAAAAGTACATAAGTCGGGGCCGAACGCCTTTGAAATCAAACTAAAGGTTGTAAACCTGGGCGCCTTCATTACGCGAAACTTGTGATAATAACACATCCTGCGGCCCTTCAAATCATCATGGCTCCGTCTATTCGCACGCTCGATCTCAACAGCACATCGTCGGCATACTTTGCGCCAGCGACTGTGACTTCATCATCGAAACTCATTCACGTGGCCGGCCAGCCCGGCTCGACCGTAGACGGGCAAGTCCCCGACGATTACGAGTCCCAGATCCACCTCGCTCTCCTCAACTTGCGCAAGATCATTCTCGTTGCTGGCGCATCTATCAAAGACATTGCCAAGCTCACACTGTACATCGTCGACTATGATAGCACCAAACGGAAACACGTTCGCCACATCCAACGTTTCCTCGCCGGCCATCGGCCAGCAATGACTCTCGTGCCGGTGCCTAAGCTGGCAATGCCGACATGGAAGTTCGAGATTGACGCCGTAATCGCAGTTCCCGAACCCTCAGTGCCTTTGGACAGAGCGACTCTGCCGGAATCATCGGAGTCAGTCGACGTCGTTATCATCGGTGCCGGGCTCGCTGGTTTAAGCGCTGCGCGCGACATCACACGCGCCGGCCTCTCTTGCATCGTCCTTGAAGCAAGAGACCGCGTTGGCGGAAAGACTTGGAGTCAGCCTCTGAAGGAAAGCCAGCCCGGAGTAGTTGACCTTGGTGCTGCATGGATCAACGACACCAACCAACATAGGATGTATGCGTTGGCAAAGCAATATGGGGCCGAGCTGATTGAGCAGAACACGAACGGCAACGTGGTCATGCAGGACTTTGACGGAGTTTGCTCGCCGTTCCCGTATGGGGAATTTCCCATGGTAAGACCTCTGCTCGTTTGAATGCCAATCATATCTTCGTGGCACGATACTAATCGCCAACAGTTTGATGAGATTACTCGTCAACACCTCGGTGCCGTTCGCGACATGGTCGAAGCCGACTGTCAAGCCGTAGACACTTGGAAGCCAACGAACACGAGCTTGGATAGTCTCACCTTTGACGCATACTTGCGCTCTCGGGGCGCCAGCGAGACTGCAACTGCAACGGCCAATGTATGGACCCGCGCAATGCTTGGTCAGGAGGCGACCGATATATCGGCTCTTTTCTTCCTCAACTACTGCAAATCTGGTGGTGGACTTTTGCAGATGCGCTCCGATCGCAAGGGTGGCGGCCAGCATCTCCGCGTACGCCAAGGCACGCAGCATTTTGCCAAGGGCCTGGCCTCCTCTCTCTCTGACGGAGTAGTGCGCCTCAATCAACCCGTCCGTGCCGTGATCTCTGATGGTCACCAAGGAGTGAAGGTTCAGACAGAGAAAGGGGTATTGGCAGCACGCAAAGTGATCACAACTATTCCAGGCCCAGCTCTCAAGAGCATCTCATTCGAGCCACCCTTGCCGCTTTCCAAGCAGGCTTGGATCGATTCTCTGACTTATGGCTACTATACGAAAGCAATGATGGAGTTCAAAGTGCCGTTCTGGGTTGAAAAGGGGTTTTGTGGTCTCGCACAATCATTCGTGGGGCCTGCAAGCGTCATTCGCGATACCAGCATTCCAATCGACGGCAAGCACGTGCTTACATGTTTCCTTGCCGGTGATGCTGGCAGAGCTTGGTCTGCACTTGAACAAAGCGACAGGGAGAAGAGGTTGCTGAATCAGTTAGAGCAGCTCTTTGGCCACGAAGGTATTCATGACCAGTTTGTTGGCATGTCCGCTTATGAGTGGGTCAACGACGAGTGGTCCGGATGGGGCTGCCCGTGTACGTCTCTTGCGCCTGGCGTTCTTGACGCACTCGGTGGCGATTCTTTCAGAAAGCCAAGTGGAAACCTGCATTTTGCCGGTACCGAGACTGCGGGAGAATGGAAGGGGTATATGGAGGGTGCGGTTAGGAGCGGTGAGCGAGCAGCTTCTGAGGTTTTGGAGTCACTCTCAAGTGCTGCTAGTGCGTCACGACTGTGATCATTTTACCACATACATGTGTAATTAGGCACGTCGATATTTCGTCCAGTCATTACAAGACCTTGCGGGAGTTTTCAGTTATATCATATCAAATACATGGAGCGAAACGTACGGAAACAAAAACTTGCTCGCTTGATGCAGTGCATTGCGCAAACTAACATTCCAAATCACACTGTGATTTCAAAAAAGGGCAAGTTTCCAGCCTCGAGTCCTTGCGACATCCATCCAATCCATCTTAAATCTTCCAGACCCTGCTCCGGTGCACTTCCAAACCTCCTCCAAAACTGAAACACACGCGTCCACGTTGCGAAACCGCCGACGATGGTTAAGCGAAGCAAACCCTTCTCGAATTGTGACAATTTCCACTTGTGAAGTCGCTTCACCACCGGCCATAAATAGAGGAAATATCATGGAGGTCTCTGCATAGCAACCCTTGGGTATTTCCCTGGAGATTTTGCAAATGGCGGTCACAGATTCTGATAAATTTGACTCAAGCGACTCCGGGTGAGAGGTAATGTGCTTTCGAAGAACACGATACAAGTAAATGAGAGCAGCATGTCGATAAGCATCGGCTAAGATGATTAAGGATGCGTCCTGTGACTGAGACGGGCACTTCCAGTCCTGAAGCTTCGTCTCTAAGCGCCTTGCTTTACAGCATAGACCTGCCATTAGAGCTGTTGCATCGGAAACCCCCGATATTGTGTTGCTTGACAGTGTGGCTTCCTGTGAAGCCATCGAGAAATCCTGGTTTAAGTGACTGGTTTCTCCGATTAGATGGATTATTTCTGCGGCATGTCCAAAATACGGATCCGCCACATCATAGTCTTCTGATGAGAGCCAATAATCTCCGGCAAGATGGGGCTTGCAATTGAGTGATACACTCATGATGATGTCGTGATACGCAAAGTTTCGGAGAAGCCATCGACCCTCATAGGTTTGGGACAATGCTTTTATATCATCCCCGATTAAGGCTTGACCATCGATTGACGAAGCGGTATCCATATTGTTGCATTCATTGAGGCATGCAGCGGCGCCAGAGAGATGATGTATCCAGTCATCTATGCCAGAAGAGATAGACTCCATGGAACATAGGACCAATGTCGTAGCCAGCCTCATTTCGCGCGTGAGTGAGCCTTTAGTCATAGAGCTTTTCAGTTCAGCCATCGCATTTCCGCGATGCTGCAAGGCCCTAACTTGGAAAATGTCATCTTGGAGTGCCAAGTGAGCTGATGAACTAGCAGCCAAGGCGTACATCAACGAGGGGCATTCAAAGGCCATTGGTAGCAAGACTGTTCAACATTAATATCTAACTCATATTATGCACTTTAGAACATACCGGATAAAAAGCAGTTATTATGCAAATTGTTCGTCAACATGAAAACCAACGATGTTGTGTAATACCGGAGCATCATTCGTCGGCTGCTTATTAAGTCATCCTCTCCTGCCCCGCCACAGGGGCTTGGACCATATTTAGGCAACGCAAAAACTCCCAGTCGGTTGATATCAACAAGATGTGGGCCACTGCTCAAGATGGAGTTGGCACTGCCGACAGACGATGTCGATTTGAAGGATTCCGTGCCAACAGTCACCTCGCGAGGTCCCTCCCATCGACAAACCAGGTTTAAACGAAGGCAATGACTGCAGACTGGGTACTGCTCGTGGCATTTCTTCTTTCTTGAGAATCTTAGCACCGCACCCAGGCGACGACGAGATATGCTTAGACTTACTTACCTTCGACGACAAGTTAAACAGCCCCTGCGCTGTCTTGTGATAGGACGTCCGCCGCCAAGACGGCCGGTTGCCACCGCGACATCGTTTGTGACGGTCTTATCCGACATCGCGCAAGGTTTTCCCACGTGGTGGCCTCAATATTGTGACGGAAGCCAGAAAGATGCGGATGATGCCAAAGACAGAAGGGGACAACTATTCTATGGGTCTGAGGGGTCTTGATGCTGTTATCTTGGAACAGGGCGTTATCAACGGCACGGGGCTCCTTGCCCTGAAAGCCAATCATAGCACGGAGATCGGCGGAGCCATGATAACAACAGATGCGCGGCGCTTTCGGCGGGGTGGAGCACACAGACTCCACCCGATGTTGGTGCTGTCAAGACGCAGCAGTCTACGAACAGATCAGAAGTTCACAGCCTCCGCACATCCAAAGGTCTAGCAACTTATACTGCGCATTCGTACAATTTACTGCAGAGCATCAAGAGCTTGCGAAAAGGTTTTTTACATGCCCGGTTAGATATCACGCTGAAGCGGCTAAGCCTGGAAAGTTGACTACGAGTCTCTATATACTTCCAGGGAGGGGATTGGTCAGATTCTCCGAGTCCAACAGTTGGCATTCGGGGATAGACTAGGGCCGGCCAGTAATGATCATACCCAGCACATATGATGAGATCAGGCAACTAAGGTAAGTTCAGTGGTGCGTTACTGAGTTGCGGGCAGTGTTGATAACAATACCTTACGGCGGCGAGCTATTACAATCAACACAGTCGGGAGACATTTAGGAATGGGTTAGGATCTACAGAGCCGCGTGAAGTATGGTCTGGCTTGCAAAGTCTTATCTATCGGATCTAGCACTTGAGTCATTCGGATTCAATCCTAATCAACGAGGCCTTCGGGACTTGTCATGCTCTTTTGCGTTGGCGAGCTTTCGTCTTTGCCCAAGAACAAATCTGATATGCCGCATGAAACACCTAAAGACTTGTCGATCTGAAGTCCTGTCCTTATTTCGGTTAACCAAGATTTCATCACACCCCTCTCTACTTCGCTGTCGCAACTACAGACGTAGTCTTCGGCGGTGAGACCCATATTGTCTTCGTGCTCCACAGCCTGCTTGGTGAGCAGCCCATTGTCAAACAGCCACTTCAAGAGTTCCACCTGACCATTCGAGGCAATCATCATCAAGCCTGTCACACCATGACAGCCGTCCGTGAATGCAGACCAATTGGCACCGCAGAGGATCAATAATCTAGCCACATCAGTATGTCCATGCGCCAGCGCTAGATGAAGAGGGGTGGCGTCGGGGCAGTCTTCTGCATCAAGGAGCCCATGGTTTTGTCGTAGAATGTTCAGGTGAGAAGATGGGCACATGCAAGCATAAGTGGCTGTGACTTCGAGACCGAGCGTACTTCGCGAAAGATGGTCTTCTAACAGCCAATAAACGGCTGCAAAATTTCCCACCGAGGCAGCGACGTGCAATGACGTGATACGACCAGCTGACAATGGCTCTTCTGTGTTGGTAGTCCAGGGCCAATGTGGTTCACAGGTGTGCCCAGGGAGGTGGAATGTCGCCCACAAATGCAAAGGTCGAAGGGACAAAACCTTCTCAAGAACCGGCAGGCCAACGACAGGATCTGCAGCTGCCGCCCAGAGAACGATAGGATTTGCGTAAGGCTTGAGCGTATAGTCGCGGGGAATTTCCTCAATGTCGTAGTTTGTGTGGATATTGATGCTACTCTGAACTTCCGTGTCGTCTCTGGCTAGTCCATTTCGGTACAGCAGCGGTGACGCCGCGTCGTACAGATCGTGACAAGTCTGGGACACGGCACTGAGAGTAGAGACATCCTGAATTACCCCAACTATAGCCAAAACAATCTCGAATGGCAAACCTGGGATAGGCGATGCGGCTTTCATTCTGGAAAGAACCGGGCAGATTGAGCTTGGGGTATTGGGCGTTTGTCGAGTGGCTGTTTGCATGAGCTTCTGGGCTGACTTCGGGTAAAGTAGAAAGGGATGCGTCGTGAAGAGATCACAATAACGAAGTTTAGATGGAGAGATTGCGGGATAATCGTAGGACATATGCGACGGGAGGTGTCGTGCTACATATACGTCGAGAGACGAACAGACGTAATTCCCCCAACCACCACGTTCGGCCCCCTGTGGCGTTCTGTCATTACACAAATTTTCAACGGGGCGCTAAGTGTTTCATGTAATCGATGATGTACGAGGACCGTTGGCGACGGCGCAAATTCGATGTCTCAAGCGCGAAACTTCACGAGCTGATCTAAGTTAGAGCACGCCAAGAATGCTTAGGTGAGCAGCATATAACTAAGAAAACCAGCCACAGGATTAGGAAATACCCGGTTGAAAGCTGCCTCCAATCCCGACGCTTCCTTTGTTCGGTAAGGTACACCGTCAGGTTTGTGTATCGAGCCACTCACGTCAAGGCAAAATCCTGGAACGTCGACCCCGGGCAAAATTGGAGACGATGTTATGTGCCCCATAATTGCAGGAAAAGGATCATTGTGCCCAACATTAATACTGCTATCCCTGAGAAGACACTTGTTCACAGGTTATTAGAGCCAGAGTAAAGAAATAAATTCAAACTAAAAAGGAACCGTACCTATGCCTAAAGCTAGTTGTTGATAGATACCTGGGCACCTAAGGCTATATTAATAGATTAAAAGACGATTCCAACATTATTTGGCTAGGTATAATATGGCTGTCTCAACGCAGACTCAATAATTCCATGCGTGATTGAGATCTATCAGTTAAGGCTATTCTCTCACGCGGCGGTTTAGACAGCTCTCCCTATTGCGCTCGTCTACCGTAGAGCCCACAAAAGCTGCGTGCAGCTTCATGCCGGGCATGTCAACATATATGATCATCGTGCTCCAATGTGCATGCCACTTGGCGACTCTAATGAGCAGAAACCTCTATGTAGTGTCACTTATAGAATCAGAAAATGGTCAGTTAATGACTGGCCTTCTCATTTAACTAATTCCTGTATGATGTATGAAGTTATGAACTATGGGAATATGATTCCGATCTAGGCTTTTCATTCTGCAAAAACAACACAAGACTGAGGCAAAGAATTGACGATAAGAGTTCGGAAAATGCGACCCGGAATTATTATTAAGCACTTAGAACAGAGCTTCCGATGCTGCTGAAGTCACCAGGTTTCGCAATACATACATTGGTGCAGGTCTTGGAATTCCTTAGAGGGAGATAGCAGAGGGCGCAGTCGGGTGACGAAACAAGTAGATGGGTATATGAATTGACACGTTATCAGTCATTGTGCCAACCAGTACGCTTTGTCTTCTCCAAAAAACAACAGCAACAAAAACCAAGTCAAAATCAAAACACCAATTTGAACAGACAAATCTCGAACCAACGAATACGGGTGCATTCGACATTTAATAACTTGTCATCAAAGGTCTCAGAGTGGGTTTGGACGTCGAGACCTCAGCCGGAGCATCCGAGCGTCCGGGGGAATCTTCATTCGTGCCTAGCATGGAATGCATGGATCACCAGTTGAATGGACATGCTTTTGGGACTTTGGTTGTGTGGAGTTCAATTTAGTACTTTTGTTTAATTCGGGCAGCTCCAAATGTCAGCTCAGGCTGTGTCGGGTGTTCGGCGGTCGGATGTTCGGCGCAGGTCAATTCAGGAACTCCCGCACCACTGAGCCCCGCAACCGCCAATGGCATGCTGCCGGGTAGACATGGTTTGCATGTGCCGGGCCGTAGGATCGCACTAGTGCATTTCAGCCCTGAAGGATCATGTCGTAAAAGCAACACGACGTACGTGTCTTGTTCGCTTCTGCCTGCTGAAGTACACCGCAGACTTGTTTGTGCACAACGTGCCGATCACTGCCGGAACAGCTAAACGAGGTGCCTTTTAAGGACCCGCACTTTGTACGAGAGTCAGCGTGGAAATTGATGCGAGCTCTTGAGCATTCATCATTGAAGCCACAGGAGGAGCTCGGGTGTCGAAACATGGGAGGCAGACTAATGAGTCGATGACTTGAAAGCGCGAAAGGGTGCAGCTCAAACCTAATATAACAACTCGGGTTTGAGTCCGTAGATCTCGACGGATGAGAGTAGCGTTGCTTGAGGTAGAAATTTCCATGTCACCCAATATGTGCGGCAACGCTCGGCCTTGAATGGAAGCGCAAGTATGCGGTGAAAGAATTGTGTACTTCGTACTCTGCCGGGCTTCTGGTTCCAGGGGTCTCAGTGAACGATGACAACATGTGAGTGGGATTGAGTTTACTGCGGTGTCTGAATCTTTATTGGCTTACGGACATCCAGGCATCCTGAGTCCCACTAAGTTGTCCAAGGGGACTTTGTGCTAAGTGGTTGATCGCTTCCACTTACATCTACATAGCCCACATGTTGCGGGGATTGTATCGGCCGCTATTGGGTTCTGCTTGAGGGACTGACGGTAATTCCTGGCAGTCATCGTAGCATCGTGCAATTCCTTCAAGCCCGGTATCTTACTCAAAGCCCAGAGTCTAGAATTGCCCCTGCCGCAAAAGTCCCACGTACACAGTACTGGCTGGGCGGGCCTAGCCTGCCATCTGTGTTTGAGACCAGGCTTCTTCAATGAAGCTTGCGGAGGCTGTCGATTATACACTAGCATTTTGAAGTATAAATAAGCTGCGATGTTCCCGCAAAGGAGACCGATCATCTCCATAAGCCACACAATACACACACATTACTCCTCAACTTCATTGTCAAGTAAATCGCAGCCATGCAGCTCCTCCAAGTTGTTTCCGTTCTTGCTTCTTTTGTCGCCGTCAGCTCTGCCACGGCGACTATTGGAAGCTCTTGCAGTGGCGCAGCCTATGACTGCACCAACGACTTCAATCAGATCGCGGTCTGCAACGGCAACCGATGGGTTCTCTCCGCCCAGTGTGGAGCCGGATGCTGCGTTTGGCCCGGCGGCGACCCTGCTCCTTGGTGCAGATGTTAAATGACGTTTAACACGACAACGTACGTGGATTTCAAGTCTTCCGTTGTATTGAGTTTGAGTTTGACACCTTCAGCAGTCTTCAGTACCGACGGCAATAGTAAGGTACGGTTGTGAACGCCCACCGCCTGACGGGAGCGGACGGTTATTGTCCACTTTCAATGACGGGACGAAGCATACTTTTCATGGCAAATTGTGCCATGTTGGAAATCACAATAGCTACCTAGGATGACTCTATCAAATTCAACAAAGTGCTTCTACTCCCCATAACCTCTTGTGACACAGACCATATAGCCGACAGAAGGTTGAGGTTCCTGTGATCAGTGTGCAGCGGAGGTGGGGCAGCTTCTACAGAATGAACATGTGATGGGCTCATGAATTTGGAGGGCGATGCCGTTTACACTGCGGCAAGAGTATCATGGAACATGCTTGGGTTATTGCAGAAGTCTGACGTTTTATTGCGGCTATATCTCAGAGATTGTGAATCCGAGTTCTTTGTACGCAACGCAATGTTAAATCAGGGTGGGTGATCCATGACTCTTGACTTCTCGACCAACTGTTATAGTCAGTGCCTTTTTCGGAAGGCAAGAGGTCTAGATGGTAGTTGCGTGCGAGGTGCGCCACAATCATTCTGATCATCAAGTCAGCGGCGTACCGTCCCAAACACTGCCTCGGGCCAAAGCCGAACCTCCAGAACAAGTATCGTCTTGCCCGAGTGTCTTTGTATGTGTTGTTAAAAAACCGATCCGGGCGAAAGTGCTCATTGTCAGGTGCCCACGCCTCGTTGCGCACGTTGAGGGCGTACGTATCCACAACAAAGCTGGTGCCAGCAGGTATCACGTATGCTTTCCCGGGCGCAATGTCAATTCGACGCGAAGTTGGTGCTGCTTGCGGAACGGTGAATGCAGCTAAAGGTCGCAGGCGACTTGACTCGAGGGTGCAGCAGGCTAGAAACGTAGAACGCCCCTCGCTGAGGTAGCGGGCGATTGCTTTAGCATCCTTCTCATGGCTGCACGCTGCGTCGATTTCGGTCCTCAAGCGCTCCTGGTCATGTTGATGGGCCGCCAAGAAGACGGGCACCCACGATAATCCACCGATGGTTACGTCCAAGTTGGCGAAAAGGGACTCGTCCAATGTCTGCAGTAGTTGGTCCTCATTTATATTGCCCGCGGCTACAGCGTCGTACATGGCGATAATCGGCGCTGGCGGACCCCTTTCCTGAAGCGCATATGCCAAAGCCATCTGGTTGAACTCTTTCCACGACGACTTGAACCTCGCGAGATCGGCATTCGCGGCGGTAGGAAAGAAGCGAGCCCAAGAGAATCTGTATAAGCCTCCTCGTATGACATGATCGTTGAATATGTGAGTGCGAAGGGGCACCAGGTCTTCCAGCAACTTGATAACTTCAGGCGGGAGCCGACCATAAAACTGGAAGTAACTTCATGTCAGAACTTGCTCTTTATTTCTGCGGATATCGCATTGAAGAAGTCTCCACTTAATGGGAGATGTACGTTAGACCCGGAGATCCAGCCGGAAGTCGATGGCAGGTACATGTAATAATGGCAAACGGGAAACATCATACCATTTCAGCAATGATCCGGAAAGGCAGCATCGCCAGATCGTTGACAGGGTGCAATAATCCATTCGCCAAATTGCTCTCGCCTTGAGCATGTAAGTCTGCAAAGTGCTGATGCACAAGGCGCTGGAAGTTTTCAACTTGCGAGGCCACATGGTTGCGCTGGAAAGGAACTTCCATTGCGCCGCGCACAGCTCGCCAGTCTGGTCCGCTGATCAGTCCAAGACACTGACCCAAAAGTTGGTTCATGTAGAAACCAGAGTTGTTTGCCGGCGCCTTAGAATGCTTGTCCGAATCTTTGAACACCTCCTGGAGCTGATGAGGTCTTGTCAACACACTGGCGGACTTAAATGTAAGTAATGCCCCAAAAAGAGGAAAGCAGACGCACATTTCCGGCTGCATCCCAGACCAGATGCGGTACACGCCCCCATACTGCTCCCTCCAATCTTTGGAATTCTCAATACCGTGTAGAAATTTCGCAGTATCTCCTTGTCCGTTTGGCCACACGTAGGGACAGGAAGGGATTGAAGTGCGTTTGCCAGCGATATTCAACACGGGAAACCTCAACTCTAGAAATTGCTATTTCGTGTTAATTAGATTGCCACTCCAAGTCGAAGGCTACTTACATTGATTATCTTGGAAAGTAGAGTTCGTGACCATTGCGTAGATCTTCTGCGGAAAAGAACATCCAAAATCCCCGCGATAAGTGCTAGGGCGCATATGATTGCAACATTCTGTACTGAAAGGCTCATAATCATGATCGACGCAATTGTAGTCAATGAACATATCTTGTTTGACTCCACCCACAATTTTTCCCACAGAACTCCCGAGCTATGCCTTCAAAAACAGAACGTGACATTTCTAGGTGAGTCCGGCTCAATCTCACGACCAGGCTTCCTATTCGGGCAAGTCAAAATACTGACGGATTCCCCATGGCCGCTGAAAGTCCGGAATTCCCCATACTTGCCGCATTGAAGAGAATTTGTGTGAGTGCCGTTTCTTTTTAGACGAATTAAGATTTTCGCATGCGGATAAGGTTCTGTTCGAGATCGTCTGAACAACCATTGTGGGACAACCACCGCTTCAAACATGACGCACTCTGGATGCCGAAATCAAATTGCATCCCACACAGTTGTCGGTGCCTGTTGAAGTTCCAGGTAGACATGGGGAACTTACACAAACATTATGACTTATGCTGGAAATTCAAATGTGATAACTGTAGACTGTTGCTGCGGAACGAGATTTCAAAGTCTCGCAGACATAGTTCGTTCATGGCCTGAGTTCAATCGCACTAACCCAGGCGTTTCTCAGGGTGTATATGCTCTGCACCTTCCAACCAGAAGTTTCAGCCAGTTGCCTCCATTCTTTCTCAGTCCGCTCACGTCCTTTAGCAGTCATCAGCATCTGTACGTCCCCATACTGCGCCAACCTCCCCATTGCCCCATCTTGCAACACCGCATCTAGCACCACTAATCTAGACTTTTCCTGAACTACTATGGCATCGCGTATGTTTTGAAGAATTCTCTTGACGTCTGGATCGAGCCAGTTATGTAGACACCACTTCATGACGTAGACCTCATAACGGGGAATCGGACCGGCGAGAAAGTCTCCTGCAACAAGATCTTCTGCTGATACACGATCGCCGACATCGGAGAATTGGCCATCATCAGAGTGGAAAAATGGTCGAGTGTGATCTATGACCGCAGGTAGGTCCAAGATTCCGCCTCTCACTAAGGTCATGGTCAGATGGAACTCATTTCCGTTGAGAGGCATAGTTGGCCGGGACTAGCCCCCAACGTGCGAAAGGAAAACATGATGACCACTCACTAGTCGGATATTCTCGTAGTAAAGAAGCAAGAAGTGCGCCACCGCCGCCGCCAATGTCCAGTATCACTCGGTCGGCCACGTCATGCCAGGGGTAGTCGGCGAGAATCCCAGCTGCCTGTGCAATTTGACTTGCGTTGAAGGCTCGGTGGACCCGCGGTAACCAACCACGCTTTTGAAAATAGGTAAAAATATCGTCATCAGTGTCGTAGTTGATTTGAGCTGCGGTGCGGGTGGAATCAGTGCGTAGTGAGTCTGGAATGCCGCGTGCCATGTCATAGAATTCAGTAGCATACAACTCCACCCAGGTATGCCACTGAGTCCAGTGATCGGATTTCAGGAGATTGGACCGCGAATTGTTGGTATAAGTATCACTTGCGGCATCGTAGACGAACAGGCCGTTGTTGTATAGCAATCTCATCACAGGTCGCAACCGGTCCTCACGAGCCCCAGCGCTCTCCGCTAGCTGAGAAACTGTCAAACCGGGGCGCTGGCCAAGAATGTCTGGAATCTTGAATGAGACTGCAGCGACGAGGGATTTACTACTCAAGTAATAACCTAAGGCAAGACAGATCAGTAACGACTTTGTAAATGACAAAGATAGGAACAAACCCATGAAGTGATCTGCAAGAACCAGTTGCGATGGTTGCAGCATCTGTTTGGCGTCATCTAGGATATCTACCACTTGTGCCGCTATTATTCCAATCTCCCTATGCGGCAGAGCCTCCGGATCGTGGAGTGTGGCATTGAGCTCTACCTGCGTCGCTGGCTCTTTCAAAGTGCTGATTAGATCTGACAGAGCTTCTTTCAGAGACGTAAGCTTTTCCACCGTATTGGTTCGATCGCTGGTGCCGTTTGGCATATTGGAGTCGGATGGTGCCATGCTGAGCAAAATTTGTTGGTGGAGACGACTGCAAGAATCCAGTCGTGCACGTTTAAGGCGGAGAATCAACAATATTAAGAACGAGAGTTCGTGGTGTGAACATTATCAACTGTCGAATTACGTCGAATTGCACTTTGTTGTATAATCCTGCGCACGTTTGAAGTCATCAGATGAACTCAAATGCTCAATCAAGGTTCGCCACGCTGTCACCTGTGCGCCATCACGCAATGCGGTCTCAGTCAGACAGCAGATGATTACTGCGATATGAAGCTCAAGACGTCTGTGTCAAGCCAACATAACGGCCGGCGCTAAAAGGTTTCACAACGTCCGTCTACCCGAAAGTACATTGTGCGGATGTCCATGCCGAAAGGTACAGATGACAACTGTGCACCTCTGCATTACGCTATTTCCCGTACTTTTCATGTCTCAACTGCTGCGTAAATGGGATGACGAAAACAGTCTAGATTTCACAGCAAAGCAAGGGCACCTCCATGGAGCTATACATATGGGCAGCAAAATGAACCTGAAGTTCGGAATTTGGTAGAAGCAAGCCCGAACACGGCAGATCGAGGGCATCGTTATCCATAACATAGCTCCAACTCATAAAACCGACAAAATGCCTTTGAAAATACTCATTTCAGGAGCCGGGGTGGCCGGCCCATCTCTCTCGCTCTTTCTGCTTCGCGCAAACCCACTACATCATGTTACGATTATCGAACGATCGCCAACTTTACGCAAGGGAGGACAACAAATAGATTTGCGTGGGCAGGGCATTCCGGTTATGCAGAAGCTGGGACTTTTGAATGCCATCAAGGCTCGCGCCGTTGCCGAGGACGGCATCGCCTTTGTTGACGCCCGCTCTGGCAAGCAGTGGGCTGTGTTTGGAAAGAACGACTCAGGCAAGGGCCGACAGGCCTTTACCAGCGAGTATGAAATCATGCGAGGTGATCTTGTGGACGTGATATACCAAGCTACTCTTCAGCAAGCACGCATTGCAAGGGCTCAAGGAGGTCTGACATACAAATTCGGCACGTATGCGACAGATATACAACAGTTCGAAGACGGCGTGAGCGTGACACTCTCTGACGGGAAGGTGGAGAGATTTGACTTGGTAGTCGGAGCGGACGGCCAGTCTTCCAAGACTCGACGACTTGCCTTTGGCCAGGATTTAAGCAGCGAGGTCTTCGAGTTCTCCGGGGTGAACTTTGCGTTTTTCAGCATGCCCGGGGACCGGAACGACACTCCCACAGCACAGGCCTGCTTGGTACCGAACCGGCGATTTATGTCCATACGTACAGGAGGGAGGCCTTCCGCTCAAGGATACCTCGGAATTATGGGAAATGCTTCATCCTGGCGAGGCTTAACCACTGGCACCATCGACATGCAAAAGCAGCTCTGGGCAGAAACATTCAAAAATACAGGATGGCAATCGGAACGCCTGATTAGAGGACTCTTGAACACTGATGACTTTTATGCTCAACGACTAGGACAAATCAAGATGAAAAGTTGGTCTCAGGGCAGAGTCACCTTGCTTGGAGACGCTGCATACTGTCCAAGTCCGATGAGTGGCATGGGTACAGCATGTGGTATTGTTGGCGCCTACGTCCTAGCCGGTGAGATCACCAGACACGAACATGGGAACAATCTCAGTGCCGCCCTACAATCTTATGAGAAGATTTTGCGACCCTTTATCAGCGAGGCCCAGAAGTTACCATTGAGCGGGCCTGGGATGATTTACTTGGAAAGTCCATGGAGCGTGTGGACGGCCAATCGACTGCTTGGAGCTCTATCTTTCCTCAGGATAGATGAGATTATGAATAGAATGATGCCGGAGGATAAAGGCGGATGGAAAGTACCCGAATATCCAGAACTGAACCTGGGAGAGTAGCTACAACCAGACGAACCGAGAGGAAATTTCTCTCAAGTCGTGACGGACGAGTTCGTGCCATGAAGCCTCAATTGAAAACAAATTTGACAGCCTACAGCAATGACTTTATATGTATAATAGTTGATATTAACTTCGGTTTGGTTGCCTGGGGCCCACATGTGTCAGGATGTGATGCGTCTCTGCCCGTAGACTACAGTAAAACGTAGTCGAGCCCCGACTTCCTCGACTTCCTGCTGCAGTTGGGAAGGCAATATTATCTCATCAGACTTGATATAAGTGTTAGGTAAAGCCACTGTTTTCGTTAGATGAATTCGACATGGTGTTGCGACGTAGGAAAATGGTATTCATACCCCTGGCTTGGGCCAAAACTGGTCCTACGACTTGCGATAGACTCCTAGTACTCTTCGCCTTGAGGTCCTCACCTCCTTGATTCTTCGCCCCGTAAAAGACGTCTACCGAATGCTGCTTTATATTCTCAAGGTCGATGTTTTCCATGGCAGTCTTGAGGTGGACCGAAAGATTTGGGCCGAGGCCGCCTGCTTCCGAATTCTGCTGGTGATAATACAACAATCGCCGTAAAGCCGGCCCATTCTCAGGAGTACAGTCATTGTCAAGCTCCACAAGTTGCAACCAACCCCCAGGACGGAGCAAGCCTCCTAATTCGGCAACGACAGAGGTAATGGTTGTCGCTGGAGGCGCCACTGCCGCCATGACTAGGCGCTGATGTACAATATCGAAGGTCCCGTGCCACTTAGTTGGGAAAGATTCAAGGATGGACTGATTTAAAAACTCAATGTGTGGGGGTGGTGACTTGGGATAAAGACTGGGATTGATGTCGGTCCCGACATAATGGTAGGTGCCAGCGTCGGCTCCATTTGCGTCCAAGTACTGTCGCAGGTCAAATAACCAGCGACCATCGCCGGCGCCGGAATCTAAGATTCGCAAGTATCGCCGAGAGAAGTCGACGGGAGCAAGAATGGCTCGGCCACCCATGGCGTGCAAGAGCACATCGTGCTGATCATGCAGACGAGCGGATTCCGACTTGTTGTCATCACAGTCTTTGGTGTATTTGATGTAGCCTTGCATCTTGTAATATCGAGTGTATGCGCCTGCTTCGGATAATTGTTGACCTTACCGGAGTCCTGACGGCCAGACGGCTGACCTTTACCAGTTTCCACGACCACACTAGCGCTCCAAGGATGGCAACCCTCAGGGGCGACCCGGTGGGGAAGTCCACTCAACTCGGCAGTCAATTCCGAAGGCGGCGAAAAGTATAGACCCGTTTCGTGGTGTTGTTTGAGAGGTTCAGCTGAATCCGCCGCAGTGTCAACGACATGAAACGTTTCTGTCAACTTGTTGTCAAAGATAGGACGATGTGCAGACTTCTAGACGTCAAGATGTTAATGTGGGAATTTGGCATCTTTTGGACGGGATCAAGCACGCGAGCCCACCCATACAGGCGGAATCATGAGTCGAGCGATCGCGATTACGGCGAAGGCCAGTTGATAAACCTTATGGCTTACCCACCTAACGTGGCTACCGGTTTAGGCAGTCGAAGAGTCTTCCGGTGGCACCATCGGACTGCCGGTCATCGTCCCTTCATCCCTTTCTACATTCAGTAAAAAAGCACTGTTTCGTGGTCATTATGGCGGCGTCCGGAAGTGAACGACTCAAATCGGGTAGGATTACTGCGAGAGTGTCAGAAAAGCCATTCGAAAACATGCTTTTGGTTTTCGAAGGCTCGATTGCTGATATCGCGAGGTTGCAATACGACTCTGAAGGAAGTTCTTCTTACCAGAAACTTTTAGAATGGATTATACAACAGGCCTACAACTACTAGCAACGGTGTTGCGAGTGGGTGTGGAATCGATCCTCCAGGACCAGAGTTTCACTACCAATGGCGGAGACTCCATGGCTGCTCTTCGATTTTGTATGGAGTGCAAGCGGAATGATATATTTCTTCCCGTTGATCATGTTCTCTCGAGCGGCTCTGTTACGGAATTGCTGCGGCAATGTCGACCAGTATCTGTCTACAACAACGGCAAGCACCCGCAAAGTCGGACCGGCCACGATGCAAGTATTCGCGACAACGAGCCCACGAGACCAAGAGAACACTTTCGGGAGGTCGGCAGCAGAATTCGACTTGACGAAAAAGCTGCGTTATGGCGCGAAAACAGAAACGAGTCCAGTTTACGCAACGCAATCGACGAGTCCTTGGAATCCAACGCCGGCGGGCTACGTCCTATCCTGACTTTCACAGACGAGTTCTGCACCGGCAACCATACGGTATGCGACATGTCAGATATTCAAATATCTCTTGTTCATGGGAGTCTGGAATCACCCGGAGCGAACATAATCTACTACAGCGAGATCCACAATCCGAGCCATATTTTCCGTCTCAGAGAAGCCTGGATGAAAGTTTGCAGAGCAGAACCTATTTTCCAAACAGCGTACCGTATCCCAGACGATGGACAGGAGATTCGTCCTCGACTTTGCTGGCGAGAGTTCAAAACAAAGAGCCGAACAGCCTACAGGAACGCGTTGCTTCAAGCAACTGGGCCAGGAATGCCTTGGCCCGACAACAATGGAGTCGATTTCGGCCTGCGATTTACCGTTCTACACTACCGTACGAGACGACCAGCTGATAGTAAAGCCGCTGTGATCTGGGCGATTCATCATGCTTTGATTGATGGCTGGTCTGCAGGCCTCTTGGTCCAGAAAGTGCACCGAATGGCGTCTGGGAAACCTGTACCCGCGCACCCTGGGCCAGCCTACGTAGATCTCTGCCGATTTCAACAAGAATTGAGATTGAGTCGAAAGGCCGAGGGAGACCTATTTTGGGCGGAGCAAAGTATCAAGTTAGCAACAGCTTGCGATGAGCTCCTCATTGCAAAGGCACCAAACGCTCCTGCATTCACCAACAATGTTTGGGGCAAGAGGGACGAGATGCAGGTTCCTGTCGAACTTGCTTCCGCCGATCATGCTGCTGTCAAAGTTGCAGCACAGTCCTGCGGTGTCACTCCGGCCGCCTTCTTCTATGCTGCCTGGGCAGTTTGCCTCGGGCTTTACGCAAGTTCGGAGAGTGTTGTCATCGGCGCAGTTGTGTCCGGTCGCAACATTGGGCTTGCCGGTATTTTCGACACAATAGGCCCCATGGTGAACACATTGCCACTGCAGGTCGATCTTGACTGGCAATCTTCATCTCGAAAGCTGGTGGAGGATGTCTTTGCTCGAATCCAGCGGTTATCTTATTTTTCATGGACCACGCCGAATAACGGATTCTCTAGAGTAAGGGGAAATCTGATGGCTTTCACACCCAATCCCGAATCCTGGGTCAAGGGTGCTGGGGTTGAACAGTCCTTTTACAAACACACGACGAACTTGCCTCTCAACGCCATCGTCAAAGAAGATGGAGGTGGCATGGTCATCCAATACTCTGCTGAACGCTATACCACGAAGGCGATGGAAACACTTGCAAGCATTTTTAGGGAATCGCTCTTGTCACTTTCCCGCACCGAGGCAAGTCTGGAGTCATTGCAACCTGTGCTGCAGACGTGCGGACGGAGTCTGAGCTTGATGGGCAACTGGAACTCATTCGAAACGACAATTCCATCCGTTAGAGACGATCTCGTGACGTTATTTGAGGACATTTCAACACATTACCCTGGCGCGATCGCCGTCGAGTGCGGAGATAAAACGATCACCTACCGTGAGCTAGAGAGGCTTTCTGGCTGCGTCGCTTCAAAACTTATTCAAGTGATACAACCTCAAGAGGTAGTTGCCGTGCACGCAGATGGTTCCGTCAACTGGGTTGTGTCCATTTATGGCGTACTACGAGCTGGAGGCATCTATTGCCCCTTGGACAGATCGCATCCTCAAAGATACCGTGAATCCCTTTTTGAAGCATCGACTGCACGGGTTTTCCTATCTACAGACAAGCGCTCAATGGCGAGTGTACCGGCTGCAGCTGAGATCGTAATAAACGTTGCCGCCGCCATGGAAGATGTGGAGGCGACGTTGTGCTACGATCTTCATTTTCCAATAAGAACGGCGCCTCGACCAGCAGACAAGGCTTACCTGTGCTTCACGTCCGGCTCAACCGGCAACCCTAAAGGCGTCATATGCACACATCGAGGTCTTGTCGCTTTCCAGAGAAACTCGGAAGTCCGCTTGGGTGCATCCGTTGGGGTCAGGATTGCACAAGTCATGTCCTTGGCTTTTGACGGTGCCATACATGAACTGTTTTCAGCCCTTTCATACGGAGCTACACTCGTTCTGCGGGGGACAGACAGTCCAGCAAGTGTACACCACCTTTGTGCTGTTGACTGTGCTATTCTTACCCCATCTCTGGCATCTGTGCTGGACCCGGACGATTTCCCACAGCTAAGGACTGTGTATCTGGTCGGCGAAATGGTACCGCAGACGGTGTGTGACACATGGGCTTCCAGTAAGACCGTGTACAACATGTATGGGCCAACAGAGGCAACTTGTGGCGCCACGATCAAGCAACTACGACCGGGCCAGACAGTCACGATTGGGAAGCCGAATCCAACCACCAGGATATATATCTTGGACAAATGCAAGCGACTGGCTCCTCCAGGTGCGGTCGGTGACATTTACCTCGCCGGCGTCCAAGTCGCCATCGGATACATCGGGCAACCAGAAATCACTGCCGAGCGCTTCCTTCCTGACCCATTCATGAAGTTGGGAGAGTCCATGTACCAGACTGGAGATCGGGGCTATTGGGACGATTCCGGCGATATCGTCTTCCTGGGTCGCGCGGACCGTCAGACCAAGCTTCAAGGATTCAGACTGGATCTTGAAGACCTGGAAGCCCGTATCCTACGTGCTTGTGGTCAGCAGCATGAAGCCAGCGCCGTGGCTGTGACAACTCAAGGCGATCAACTGATTTGCATGATCCAAACAAATTCTGAAGATCTCGCAGGAATGCGAATGGCTATTCGTAACGCTCTTCCCCCATTTGCGATACCCAAGCACACCTTAGTTACCCGTCAGCTTCCGATGACCTCAAACATGAAAGTGGACTATCATACTATTGTGCAACTGGCCAATGACTCAAGCATCTGTCATCAAAGTCGGACGGAAACAAACAGAATTTCTTCAACCACTCGAACAGAGGCTGTTGTCGCTGCCATCTGGGCTCAAATTCTGGAGAACGAAGCTCTGTCCCCTCGAATCGGCCCCGACTCGAATTTCATACAGCTAGGCGGGCACTCCCTACAGCAGTTGCGACTAGCAGCCAAGTTGAAATCCGTCTTCGGAGTTCTCATCACGCTTCGAATGATAATGAATATCCCAACTCTGCGGGAGTTTGCAGCCGCAATTGATAAGATGGACAAGACGTCCCTGCCCCCTATGGCGGCCGAGGGAAGAAATGATGCCTGGCTTGGAGCCTTTGACACCCGCCCGATTGAAAGAGAATGGTGGAGAAAATATCAGCTAAGATCTGGCACTTCGGCTTTCAACGTAAGCTGGGTTGCTCAATACTCCGCAAGTATCGACGGCCCGAAATTAGCTAAAGCATGGAACGCTGTGCTGGCACGACATCTCATCTTCCGATCTCGGTATGTGCAACATGACGGCGGCTTGCAGCGAGTCTTGTCTTTGTCTCCTCCGCGTGTAAACAAACGGCGCCGTCTCAACATCCGCAGGGAATTGAATCGGAATTTCGACCTGAGCACGTCGCCCCCTGTCCGGGTCACAATGACGCACAATGCAATAATTGCTATTTGGTCGCACATTGTGTGTGATTACACCACCCTGGGTATCGTCCTCAAAGAGGTGGCCACCGAATATCATCGTGGACCATTGGTTCCTCCTTCCCCCCCAAAATCGCCGCCAGAAGTGTGCGGCAGGCAGATATCATCTGACGAATCATGTGTTGCGTTCTGGTCGGCTTACTTGGATGGAGTGAAGAACAAGCGCCATCCTTATCTGGGAAATGACATTGAACGAGTTGATTACCGGGGTAAATCACTTGTGGGACGCGTGTCTGTCTCCCTATGGCACCGCATGCAAGCCTGCGTGCGAGAGTGCCGGGTGACCCTACAGCAGTTGCTGATTGCTGCAGTCGCTGCGGCCGTCACAATCGAGGACGAAAAGATTGATGTGACATTGGGCGCGCCTTTCCTCAATCGGCATTCCGAAGCGGACATGGAGGCTGTGGGGTTGTTCCTGGAGCCGCTGCCAGTTCGTGTACATCATGATGATACCACGACGACTCTGAGGTCTTACCTTCATACCGTTCAAGACTCATCTCAAGGTGCTTTGGCCCACGCAGTCCCGTGGGACCAGCTGCTGGAATATTTGGGCATCGATTCCGGAAGCCAAATTCCCAATCACCCAATCTTCGACTGTGTCACTTCATTCCACGATGCTCGCTGTAATGGATCCAATAAGACGCAGCAGAGCAGATGTGGTCCTTGGGATAATGCAGTTTGGGGTGATGGTGTCGAACCACAGCTGGTATGGAGTGACGGCGCAAAGTTCAAGTTGATGGTGGAGTGCCTGGCATATGACGATGATACGCTCTTAATACGGCTTGAGTACGACACGGCTTGCTTTGAAGGCAGTCATCGTGTTTACGATGCACGAATCAAGGCTGTGAGAAGGATGATACTGACAGCTATGACGATGATCGTTTCGCCAGAAAATAGCACCGTCGGTGGCTTGCGGCAAGGACTTCGACGGTTATGGGAAATAGAGAAGAGACCTGGGGTTAAGAGTGTTCCCAGCGTGGATTTGCTACACCCTTCTGAAGGCTTGTTCATGAGACGCTTTTCGGACTTGAACAGTCGCTGAAAGATTTTTCTTTTGCTCGCTATGACTTATTTTACTGGGGGAGAGTATGATTTGATTCTATATCGTACGTTGCATATCGCCAAATCATTAAAACCTCATCGTGGTCTGGAGTTCTGATACAAATGTTGAAATTAACAGTATGACTTTTGAAGCCAAAATTGACGAAGAGAATTTCCAATGTTAGGAAGTGCCAAGTCCATCACCAGTGGGCAGATTGATTCATTTGCTAATAATATGCGCCATCTTTGCCTCCATTATACGTGTATATCAAACACCCGACCTGGACGCTGCCGCCTACGCCGCCATTGTTGCCTGAAATTCAAAGTCAGCTGAGTTTCTGGAGAAAGCCGCACCTGAAACACTCACAATTCAAGTAATTTGCCCTCATGAGATTGTAACATGTTGGACTCTCATCACCAAGCGGCCGCTGTATGTCTTGGCTAATTTCCCCCGTGTCGCACCCCGGCTGCCATTCAACTTTGAAATCATGTTTGATTCTCCATCGATCCGAGTGACGAAATCGAATAGCCGGATAGGGCTGAGCGCCGTGTACACTCCTTCTCAGAATAGTCCTGCCCTTCTCGGATCTGCAAAAGGCGGCGACGCCATCCTCCTGCTTTCGGGAACGAATATCAGCGTGCCCTGGGAAGTCGGCTTCGTTATGGCACCGTCTCGCTTGTTCCAGTAGCGGCGTGGCAGATCCCGGAAAGTATGTTGGCGGAGTGACAGCCGTCTGGCGAACAAGAATAGGGCGGGAGACTGATGAGGCATGGGAGGGAGATCTTATGGTGACCGTGGTCCCAAGCGATGTAAAGTTGTCGGGTTGATGCCCGCCTGCTCGAGTCTGCATTCGGGAACCCATTGTTGCATGCCCATTAGTTGAAGCCCCATTGCCTGGACTTTTTCCTGTGATTGAAACGACGAAAAAGGAGATGACTGCGTACAAACCAATCATAAGAAGCATGATTGGAAATGAGTCAAAGTCTGGCTCAGAACTTGAGCTGTCAATAAACCCACCGCAACGTCTAGGTTTAAATCTTTTCTCGATGGTATGGATATACCCGCAAGGATTAGAAAGAAAAGGAAGATCATGTATGCTTCAATGGATGGAAACTTGCTTCATGGGGGTTTGTTCGCTTGCGCCGCAAACAGCCAGCGCCATTCGTCTCATGGGTTATACGAGTGCTAAATGCTTGGGCCCAGAGTGGTACAGCACGATACCATGAGGCACCATCTCCCAGAAGAAATTCGTGCAGCAAGCCCGGCAATCAAAGGGGTGTTGTGGACCGGTAACACGTCGTTTGGTGGTGCATACGGCCGGCAGTGAATCGATACATGCCAGACTGAATCTGAAAGACAACATTCGATCTCAAGCAAAAAGCCACGCGTACAGGTGCAAAGCTGAAATCAGTTCGCTTGATAATCATCCTACCACGCACTGGTCTTCATAGATGAAGAACACTGGGCCACGTATGAGCCGGACTGGAGCAATCGTCACGGCTTATGCGATAAACAAGTCGTTTAGATAAATCCTGTTTTTTTGCTCTTTCATTCTATCCGCAATTTGAACATCTTTGACATTGTGGATTCCCACTCTAGCCGCGGCCCAAGTCCCAACCTGCCTGACGGACCACCGCCCCAACAGTGTGCCTCGGGTTTTACCTACAGATGGGCCACCTGATGTTATCTAGTAATCGGGAAATGTATCAGTTTGAATGGGCGACAGTAAGGTTATGAAGACAATCTACGCCGGCACCTATCACAATACGTGCTACGTCGACGAATTGTAGATACAGTTCAATTATGTCAGGGCGCTCGGTTTCAGTGCTGCATCCGTAATTACCAGCATTTCTCTGACCCCTTCCAACTCTCGATAGATAACTAGACCAACCGCAGCCCGTTAGTAAGCAGCGCCAGGTTGTCAACTAACGTTTAGGACGGAATACCCCGAAGGCAGACCAGGCGTAATAACTAGGGGCTGGTCACACGACTGTCCCTTTTCAGTACGTCTTCTGGATATTTGCCTCCAGGGTAGCGTGGCCCTTTGCTCTGCCGGTTCCTCAACCTCTTCACGTTTTCGTTATCTTCGGGGTACTCCAGATTCTCAATGTCCAGGCTCTCTTCGAGAACACGCAATGGTTGATAACCAAAACCCATCGTAATACTTTGCGAGAGTAATTTGACCTAACATGAAGTGGTACTCGATCAACTGGTTTTAGTCGCCAGGTTAAAATTAATCAAGTGAGTGACTGGATCAGCTTTTCTAAGCAGGCATATAAGCTGGCTTAGTGGAATTGAAATGCGCCAGATAGACCTTTTTGAGAGGTCCTTATTGTATCATTACTCTTCTGTCGTTCTCATTTCCTCTCTGAGTACCGGCAGCGAACAGAAACTCCGGTCACCGTGATAGCGCCCTGAATCGAGTTCATACCAAGTCTCGCCTTCTCCCCTATCTCCGTCTGGTAGAAGACTCGTTGCCCGTCAGCACTGCCCCAACCTATCATAGCTGCAAGAACCGCACCCGTATTACCGCTTTGACCTCTTATAGGGAAGTCGTTCTCCACGCTCCATCCCCAGCTGACGGCAGTAACTTCAACACACGTTTGGAAGTTGTCTGCTAAAATTTGTCTGACACTTATAGTCGACTCTGCCCTCGCCTCTGCAGAGACGTCTCCGGGGAAGTGCACGAGAACGAGCTCGGTAACAGGGCATTGAAGCGCGACTGAAGACGAAGGCGTGAAAGACAAGTGCTTAACGAACTCCCCATGGGTAAGCAAAGCAGGCAAGTCCTTCACAATTTCGGCGCCGTGGCTAGGATTGGCCCAATATTATCAGTCTCAAACATTGTTCACCGCTTCCTGTAGTGCAACTTACAGCTTCGCAAACACTTCATGGTGTTCAACCGAGTCAAAGTCGAAGAATCCCCACAACAGCAATGGATTCTCAATCTCCGTGCCCCAGAATGCACGATAAGGCCCTCCCTCTGCAACCGTCACAGCCCTGTACGCTCCTGAGAGAAACGAACCCTCTGGTGTAGAGTCATCCATGGGGCTCAAACCGGGCTTGACACCCATGCACCCTACTTCAGTTACTGTCATTGTGGTAGTCTTCGGGAGGTTGCGGTTTTCTACTCATTTAATGGAGTATCTGGCATGCGGGAAAGCTTTTCTATAGTCGAAATGATGTCTTCTTTTAGTCTTTATAACAATTTGATTAGGCAGCAGTCAAACACATTGGGATCTGATCGCCAGATCCTGATGCCTAAAATGCGTACCCGACGTCGTTGACGTTGACGCTGACGCTGACGTCTCGTAATATGCAGTGGTCAGATGACAGGCAACGACTTTCAGACGCATCTGGACCTAAAGCTGCCGTATTGAACAACCAACCTAGAAGGCAACAAACGCGGAGTGTGTGTCCAATTGCCAATTCTATTTAGCTTGTGATCACGGCCACCGTTTCCTAGACCCAACCTAATTTGAGGCGAAGCCCTGCAACTGCGTTGAGTGCTAAAGCCATTTGGTGTGGAAGGAATCCCGGCTAGAGTTGTAAGAAAATTAGTGAACCTGGCCTCGTTGGGCCATTTGCAGCATAGCCACGACGTTTGCCATGCACATGAGCACCCGAATACATGATGAATGAAACAAACCCGGGGAATTGTGTATGGAACCGGCATCTTACCACTGAATACGGAATACTGAAGGTCCCCGGAAAATGAACTGGTTCGTCCTCACATGCCCGGCTGAGGTGGTCGTATCGGCCATACCTGCTTTGCTTGTGCCCAGATTTGGCCAACAATTGAATAAATCTTCTACCCGCAACTAAGAATCTTCGTCGTGTAGTGACTCCGTCTTGATCTTTAGATTCTCGTTTGCTTTCCGTGTTGAGTAGTTTTGCATGCCGAGCCCGCGTAGCAGGGGACCCGTAACATTAATTAGCAGGTTTGTAATTATTAGGACACATGCTTGTAGGGGACGGTCCCGTTTGGCCTGTGTGCATAAGTTGACGTCAACCCAGGTGGTAGAGAAATGAGGATATTGTCCAAGGAGTGCATTGTGATTCGGGGCCGCCCCTTCATCTGGCTACGACCAGGGCCGGATACCATATGTCCCTGGCGTGTCAACCGGGCGATTATTCACTTCACCTCGCGTCAGAACGACAGGCGTTGCCCCAAGTCTCAGCTGTATGGGAAAGGGGGGTCAACTGTTTTGTGCAAGTGTGCCGTACGAATACAGTCATTTGCTGAATCCAGAATACTCAATGCCGGCCGAAATTGCGAACACACGCTTGGCGCTTATGAATTTGCTTAAGCGAGAGATCAGAGACAAATGAGCAGCAGGACAGAAAGTAGAAAATGCAGGGATCCATTGCTTTTTTGCAGCTTATGCGCAAAGCAGTGCCCGGTCTCGTGTCCAGGCTCGCCGACCGGAGATCTTCCATCTCGTACGTCCTGTTCCGCTCTAAAGATTCGTTCCGGCGTAAAGTCGACCGTTGGGATGCATAAATTTCATCCATCATTGAACTTGCAACGCTGCGCCCATGGCGGTGTACCCCTAAAGCTGACTTCCTCGTGAACATGCATGCATGGCCAGTGCAACCCGCAAGCGAGCACTACTTCTCCTCTCGATGCACAAACAAATGAGATAAGATAAGCCGAGACTTCAGGTCGTAGAACCATACATGAGACGAAGGAGCTGCAGCCTGCAGTGATTCCGCAGTTTTACCAAGCACTCACCCGAAAAAACGTGGAGGTCGATGCAACTGAAGCCCAATCAGGGGTGCCACGGTTTTCGACCGGTGAGCCACCAGGCTACGTGCAACCGCAACAGCTCAGTCAGTCAAGTCTCACAGTCATTGAGTGAGCGCATAATCACCCAAGATTCATTCCCTTCCGATTTCTGGTGGCTGATATCCATTCACGTCTAGCAGGGAGGCAGACTTCCAGAATCCCTCGAACAATATCCTGCTCTTCAGGTTGTTCAAAGAATCGTTTTGGTCAC